CTAATATCTGAGCATTCATATGCGAGGGGTTTGTGGACGGGATTCGGGTCCAAGATTCATCGAGCTTGAAACAGCCGTAGCCTGGATGTAGTCTTCAACACCAGTTGTTTTTGGTTTCTGATTGGATGCTATTTGAGCACATCGGGGGATTTGGTTTGCGACCAATTTCACCCAGGAAAGTCTCTGATTACAAGCCATGACCTTTTCATGGAGCTGACCCATGGTTCTTGGGCACGTAAGGTCTTAGATGGTAGTTGATCAATATTCCTGCTCCCCAAATCACCATGGGTAGCTTGTCCCATTTAGTGGGCAATATCATCATTTTAGTGGCTTCCCCCAGTGGTCAAGGACCTTTTGATTAACCCCCAAATCAGGCCTTGACCGTTGCGGGGGCAGGTTAGGGGGGCAGGTTAGGATTGGGTCACAGAAATCCTGGCGGAGTTCATACCCTTTTTGCTCGTCGTTCGACCAGCTTGCACCACGAGCGCTTTGGCACAGGCGCACCTGAGTCACTTACATGGATCTGCTGATCTCTTGTGTTGAGAATACCCGATCCAGGTAAAAGGTGCGAAAACCCATGACGTAGGTCCTGCTTTTGGGAGTCCAATATTAGTTTGGAGCTTTGGAATTATTTTGTTGATAGACTACTGTTAGATGGAGGATGGACATAATATGGGGGCCACCCAGAATAATGCCATGAAAGAACAACATACTAGGGGCTCTCCGAATTCTTCCCTGTCTGGGAAAGATGATTGTTCCTGGCTCACCGCGATGATTCGATCCAATCATTGGGTGTTGACCATTTTCTTACGCAGAGCAGTAGCACAGAGAGCCATTGCAACCTTGTGACTCCAGTGACTCAACTCGGGGCCGTTCGTATGTGCCAACGCGCTACTGCATGGCGAGGGTCGGTAGGACGCCCTTAGATGCTCAGCCGAAACGGGGCAGCTTGGGAGCTTGAGTTGGAAAATCTGGAGACGCCTGGCTGTGTGTTTGTTTAGACTTCCCTTTTTGAGGCGGTGTTGATGGGAAACCGAAGGGAAGATCACCCATTCTTGAATCTAGGTAATTCGCGTCCCTGAGGAAAGCTGGGGCCATTCAGAGCAACCTCGCAGACAAAATGAATGATTACAATTGACGCAGCGGATGTAGAAGGGGTGTGTGTTCCCCAAAAGCGAGGCGCACCCGAAATAGGGGTGCCTTCCCCAAACGAGGTGTGCAGGCAAGTAGGTAGCCAGCCGGCTAGGGTGGGCAAGTGTTTTTGCGGTTAGCAATTCTAGTAGTCGGTTGTTGGTAGGAAGTAATCAGTATTTTGTCAGTGGTTCGCAGGCTGCTTTTCCTTTGCCATTGGTTATGTGGTTATGCTTCGCCAACAGCCTGAATCAATCGACTACTCAGATTCAATTGCAGTGCTCACTTCATCTGAGCTGCCCCCAGATACATTTGCTCCACCGCTGTGCTCAATTCGCTGACCAGTACCCTGCGCAACGTTGGATGCAGTACGCGTCCCTCAGCATCGGGTAACTTTGGTCGGCTGGCTGTGAGAGTTGAACTGCGCACCTGTTGATCTACTCGCTATCCAAAGTTTCTGGACTTGAAGCTTTTTGGCACTGAATTTGAATAGGGACTCACTTCGAAAGAGGTTGGAGCACATGAATTACCAAAGTACATCATGTCCACCAGAGGTTCCCCCGTTGCATGTTAGGGGTCAAGAAGAAGTTCCGACTTTCTTCAGCGAAACCACTCGTGAGTATGGCTTATTTTCAATGAATCCAAGCCAAGACAACATATTGTTGACTGCCGGCAGCGGAGAGCAATCATTATAGGATACCTCAGGTTGTGGCTCCCTATATTTTACCATTAGGACATTTTCAATTTGATGGGATGTTCGCTTGCCGAGGTGACTTCCCCAATGCCATTCCGATCCTCGGATGTATGGACTTTCTGGTCTGGGATGTTTTAGGGTCATTTTGAAGCTCCCATACCTCGCGCCCAATATGGGTTTTGGCCAGTCACTCGCCGAATGAGATTGATATCGGACCGGTCCGAAGGCAACTTGGGTCAAAAGCCCAAGGATCTTCCAACTTTAGTGAATCCCCCGGTTTTTGTGGGCAGTTTAGTGCGTTCCCAAGGTCCCTCCCATGTAAACCATAGACTATTGGATATTTCTTAGGGTCAAAAGGCCAACAATTCCATGCAGATGCGTTTGACGCTCATGGATTTTCTTGGAATGAAAGATGCCAGTGCAGCCTGTAGACTTCCTTCTCGTTCAGCTGACTTCCAGAGAAAATACGACTTGGCACACAGGTCTACACCTTTACAAGCATAGGACGAATTTGTCCATTGGTTTCGGGTACCAACGATTTACATCTTCCACGGCAACAGACAACGACTTGGGGAGGGCACCCAGGGGGTCCTTCTCATTATAAGCGCAGTTTATCGGCAAGAGGTGGGATATGGTTGAAATTCGCATTTGGCTGAGCTGCCGCACCGTTCAACGCGGCTTTGCGGCAAAACTTGGCGCGAACGGGGACCGAGGGTTTCATTTTGACTCGTCACCTTCACTTGCGACGTACGCCGGGGGGTTGCGACACGTTCATAGGGAACTATTTCTTGTTTCGGTTGCTGAGTTATTTCAATTTGAGATTGTGTAGCTAGCCCCAGACAGACTTAAACCCAGTGGTTTATGGTCCTCGAAAGAGAACCGCGCTGGCTTTGAGTCATGCTGACCGCTGTCACAAAATGGAACCCTGCCTGAGGTCATTTTTAGCATGGCATCCTCAAAATTACTCTCTAAAGGGAAGCCACCCCCAAAAGTAACTAAAAGGCACCCAGAGCCAGAGCCAACTAGCTCCTAAGCGGCTCAAGCGTTTGAGATAGGTGGTAGGACCACGTGTGGGTAGGGTTCCATGTTTTGCCCACAAAAAAGACAACATAAGCCACTGGGTTTAAGTTTGTCTCGTGGTCAATCTCTGGAACCCTGGGATGGTGGGCCCAAACATTTGAGGGGTTACACAAGGGAGAGAAAAGGCGTTGAATCTTGGGTCTTTGGGTTGGTTTTTGTAGTGCCCCAGACTTGACGATCTCTAGAAAATGATGGTCTTAAAGAACCTTCTTGCCATTTTTCCCAGGAAACAATATAACTTTTCAGAGTTTCTCCTGCTGTGACCCAATTTGTGGGCTGCAATATTGACCCCCAATCCAATGAACAACCTCCCATTATTTGAATCAGGGGACACTTTCTTCCTTAGTTCCCCTGATGAACGCGCTGATGATTCAGAAAACGAACCCAGAGACCCTCCAACCTTTAAGCTATTTGGGGTAGAGGGATCTTTAGGCTTCAGGCAGTGACAAACTTCACTTCCAGCCCAACCCCCGGTATTTGTTTGGACATTTTTGTTTAAAGGCTTCCGGGTAAGTGTTTCCCCCCCTTGTTCCTCTGTTTTTTCTTCTTTTCTTTTTTCCTCCTAGACTTTATTGAGAACACATACTAGTATTCGTGCAGCATCTCTAGAGAAGGAAGTCACGTGCGACACAATAAAAACAATAACATATTCAGGTAGATGAAGGTTAGTCCCAGGCATATATAGGTGCGGATATGCGCCCTTTAAACTCCTGACATGTTTCTGGGCACACCATTCTAACACCAGGTTTTGATTTTGACTCATCAGATTATTGACACAGCCCTTACTCGGATTTGGACGCGGCCGTTGTGTTATGCCTTTCCAAGCTCGATCATAGTTGTGGGAATCGGGGCTTGGCGGGCAACTTCTATGCTACCGAAATCCCTTCAGTGGAAGCCCCAAATATTGCAAGTAAGGGAAGAACGACCACCCTGGTTTGCCTCTAAATGGGTTTTGTGGTTTAGCGTTGTTTCACCTGCAAGGGCATCCACCATAGGGATGGTCCATTCTGGTATGACGGAATGGCTTATGTTCCATAGTGAACATCGAATCCATTTTTTTTTTAGCAACATGGGTACGTGCCAAAGTAGGTGGGCCCAAACATGGCGGTTTTCCGCTTGGTTATCCTGTATTCAACCTGAAAAGGGTACCCACAAAAACAACAAAACAACAAACGCACAAACGCACAAACGCACCAACCAACCAACCAACCAGCCAGCCAGCCAGCCAGCCAGCAAGAAAGCAAGCATGCAAGCCAGCAAACAAACAAACAATCAATCAAACAAACGAACAAACAATCAAACGAAACAAACAAACAAACAAACAAACAAACAATCAAACAGACAGACAGACAGACAGACAGACAGACAGACAGACAGACAGACAGACAGGGACAGACAGACAGACAAACAAGCAACCAAGCAAACAAGCAACATATTCCTCTGACACTGAACATCTTGTGTCGGGCTTTCTTCCGCTCATCAGGACATTCGGCAAGGATTTCGTCTCAAGTCTGCCGCTTTGGGGTCCCCACTGGTTGATCCACACGTGAGCTCTTGCTCCGAACCTCAAACGATGCAAACCGCTGGGTCGAAGATGGCATGGGTCTGACTGTTTTCCTCACCAACCTTCTACTCTTTGAGGAGCCATGAATGCCAGCGCAATCAGTGGGACAATTTTCATCAAGGAAATCTTCAAATCCCAGTCACAACATAGTCATGGGTGATTTCACGGGGGCCCGCTTGCCACAACCACAAAACAGGTCCCTTCGAGTTTCTTTTCAATTGGTTTCGGTTGAATGCCTGCAGGGGACCTGTTTAACGGCTTCTAAGGAACCGGTTTCGATCGCTTGCACCAGGGACCAATCATGTGTATCCGAAAGAGACCTATTTGTTAGAACCACCCAAGCCGTTTGTCGTAAAACTCTGCGGCTCCAGGCGTGTCATCGCATTTGTCGGCACGCATGTTCGCAGAATAGACAAGCGCACAAACATGCTCAGCGGAACACACACACACACAAACAGATTCTCAAAACTTTACGGAAGGACAGATTTTGGACCCTTGGCAACTTCATCTTCAACCGTGCAGCTTTCAACTGTCCGGCGCATCTGGGTTTTGGGCTCCTACCGTTTGAGCAAGCGGCAAAGAGTGATTCGGAGAGCTCGAATGCCCACCACGGTGATAGAGCCGCCGGTGCCGGAGGCGCGATTAGAAAAACATCAGGGGAGTAACCAGGGACACCAACATGAGGTTGCCATTCGGTGTCAAACTGAAGGCGAGTTTCCTTCCAGGGTGTCAAAAAGCCCTAGAACTAGGGCATGTTTTCCGAGACGGGAGCCCTTGGACCCCTTAGGATTCTTAGAACCCTTCTAGATCCCCATCTGAGAAACTTCCAAGAACTTTTTGCTTGAGGAAAACCCCAGCTTTTGCCTGTAATGTTCGGGCCTGATTTGGAAACTGATTTGGCCCCAAAAAGACGTATCCTGTGGCCTTTAAAGGCGAGTGTTAGGGTCCCTTAACACCACAACCTTTGTGAGTGGTACCCTTGTACAGAACCCCCCCCGTCGTTTCACATTGCCAGACTCAACTGACCTGACCCTTTTGACTAGCACACATTTGGGCGAGTTAAAGCATCTCATTTACAAGCAGGTTTCGAGGATCCGCTTGTGAAGTAGGTCGGCTTTGGATGTATGCTTAAGGAACGCTGTTCCCCCTTTGCCACTGTATGTTTTCTTTCTCTTGTCTTTACCCAGAAAAACCTTTTTGCCAAGGGTCTAAAGTCTGGCAAAGAAGAAGGACGCCACCCTTTGTGGGTGGGAATATGTGGGGCGAAATGGTAGTATATGGGGCGATTTGATCATACGCATGTTTTTCTGCACGAACGAAAGGTGGTTTGGAATGCAGTACCAAAACGGGGGGAGGCTCCGAGCTCCTAAGACACCGAGACACAGGGGCACGACCGCGGAAATCTTCAAAGGTCCTTTCGGACCCTGGGGCCGCCCAAGGATACCCGAAAGCGGCTCTAATTTTAACATCCCCCATGGTCAACGGACCCTTTGGCCTAGTGTAGGATGGTGATGGGCCCGGAGTTCTGTCAATGGCAAGGATGCTACGGCAATGCTACGGGAACCCTGGCTCCCCACATTTTTTGGGCCTAAGCTTTTTTTGGGCCGAGCAGGCAGAGATGGCGAGGAGCCGGATCCCCACAGGTGCTGGAGCCTCCGGATGCTTTGGTTACGCACGTCGCCCGATTTCCCTCCGACCGATTCACATGGAACCTGACAGCGGGGGCGGGGTCCTGGAAGGCTTTCCTTTTAAGGGGACCCCCTGTCAGGTTTCATGTTAATTGGTGGGAGGGTATATCACCAAACACTGGGGCAAACTCGAAGCCCGGGTGAGGGCTGGTTGGCAAGGGAAAGATGTTTGATTTACGCAAGAGATGTGAAGTTGTATGCGGGAATCGCTGATGTACCATGCGCAAACATGGCCAAGTCTTTGGCTCAAGTGGTGCTGTGTTTTCAGGCGTTCTAAGTCGTGAAAGTCTCAACCATAAACAGGTGCAGCCCTAGATTGAGATGGGTTGGACCAACACAACTCCAGATCTGGAGTGTGACTCTGGTTGGGACTGTTTGATTCCACACTTTGAAAGGGACTTGAAAGGGGGAACGCCCTTCGATTAGTTGGGTTTGCAAGACTATCCCAACCCGAACCTGACCCACCTCGCTCCCCGAAAAACCTTGACTGAAACTTATCGGACGAACATTTATTCAAAACAAACGGTTTGGATGACTTTTCTGACCAATCCGCTCATGGGCCTCTGTGTCGAATGTTTTGGGGGGTGCTGTTGTGGGTGCTGGTCAGGGTGGTGGTGAGGGTGCTGCTTGTCAAGGTGCTACCTGGTCTCAAGGGGCGGTCCTTTCTTTGGATTTAGTCCGGGTGCTGTTGCTGGTGTTGGTCCTCATAGCGCGTAATGGTTCGTGGCTGTGGTATCATCATGATACTGTCAACAGCCTCGCGACCCAGCTGGATTCATTAGCGCACCGTTTGTGATTATATGTAGCGCATAGTGGGTGTGGCATCATGGTGTCTGCGCTTGTACGTAGTGCAAGAGGGTTTATGGCTGATGCAGCTGGTAGATTCATAATAAGGCGCTTGTTTTTGCTCGTGGTTGCGGTGTCATCATGCGCTGCAGAAAAATGAGCGGTTCCGGTCAAATCTCCCATGCCATCTGGGTCTATGCTGGTGTCATGTTTTTCTGAGTTGGTACCCTTCTCAGGTTGGCTGAAAGGGACACCGCAACAAGCACCACCTTGGTTTCATATCCCTATCTTGAAGCACCTCACAAGGCATCGAGGGAGGTCCCTTTACAACTGCTCTAAAGACTGTTTCGCAAGGGCAGCAAGTTGCAAGGGCGGCCCCGGAGGTTCCTTGTCGAGCTGATGCTGTTGACTTGGCAGGCCACTGGGAAGTTGATATTTTTTTTTCTGGATCTTAGACGACCACCAAAGACAGCGGCTGTATATCCCAAACCTCCTCGCCGTGTTGGGAATTTGGATGCTCAACCCGGCTTTTGGCAAGGTTATAAGGGACTAAACCCAGTTACCCAAATTATAGCCCAGTTACCCAAATTGTAGCCCAGTTACCCAAGTTGTAACCATGGTAGCCTACTTTCCTGACGCTGAACATCCGGTGGACATCTTGGAGCCATGAGCCATTTCCGGCGCAGGGCTGCTGGAAGCCTTGGGCTCGCGGAACGGGAGCCTGCTCACCTACGTGCGCCCTGGCTCCTCGCAGGCGGCCATTGCAGTTGAAAGGGGCCCTGAGTTCCTGGACTTTAGTCACTTTTGGGGACGCAGTGGCAAGAACGTTTGGCTACTTTTTTAACGCCAGTTGACTCGTGCGGAAGTGAATACGCCAAAGGACCCTACCACAAATAGGTTTGTCACAGTTTTCCCTTACGGTTTTCCTTGGTTGTCCCTCCGGAGATACCCCATAGGTACCCAAGCAGGTTTCCATGGACCCAAAGCTCCAGTGGTAGGGGGGGTTCCTTTAAAAAGAACTACCCAAAATTAGAGTTCCCGTTTCTCCCATAGAGAATTCATTTGGGTCTGGGTTCAACCCTCCTCCCCCCCCATGTACCACAGGCGACCAGGCGCCACCCTTGGAAGGGCCATGTGCCGCAGGCGGGGCCAGGCGCCGCAAAGGAGGAGCCAAAGCTGCAGGAAGTGGGAGGCCGACCTTCGGAGCGCAGGGATCTGTTTTTTTTTGGTTTCTAGGGCTGTTTCTAGGGCTGGTCCCCTGGCTGGTTGGTTTGTAGGTTGGTAGGTAAGTAGGAAGATAGGTAGGTAGGCTGGTTGGTTGGTTGGCTGGTTGGTTGGTTGGCTGGCTGGCTGGCTGGCTAGTGGGTAGGTTGGTAGGTTTGTAAATTGGAAGCCAGGCGGGGTAGGTAGGTAGGTAGGTAGGGTAGGGTAGGGTAGGGTAGGGTGGGTAGGGTAGGGTAGGGTAGGGTAGGGTAGGGTAGGGTAGGGTAGGGTAGGGTAGGGTAGGGTAGGGTAGGGTAGGTAGGTAGGTTTGCGCGGAGAATTATTGGACCCTCTATTGAAGGGGTTCCGTTTCTTGAAAAGTTTTGGACTTCAAGGGAAATTGAGAGCCGGGATGCTTGGTGTTTTGTTTTCCTCATTTTTTTTCCTTTCTCGGGATGTCCTTTTCCTGCTTTGGTCCAGGGGTTCTTCAGTTTCCCTTTTTCGGACCTCCAAAACTGGGAGTTTCGGCAGAGGAGGGACACCTGCGGAGCCAGGTGATGGAAAAGGCCCCGATGCCAGCCGAGGCTACGACGTGGAGGACGCGGGATTTGGATAGGGCACAGTGCCATGCTGTGGATGGAGGAAATCCCGAATCCCGCCGCCAGTTGGGATGGATGACGCCCTACAAACGACTGGGAAGCAACTACCAACTGGTGCAGGAACATGTCCATTTACAGTCGTGCCACTTGGCGAGCTCACCATGATGTAGAAATTACTCGGGAATGTCTTGCTCTCTGTGTGATTTTTTGTCAGCAAAAGCAGATATTCGCGAGCAATCGGCTTTAGGTTGCCACTTTACACGGCGTGGTTTGCAAGCAGCTGTGGACAGCGACCTGCTAACTCGCTTCGGCCATCAGCCCGAAGGCCCCTCTGACTCTTGTTCGAGCCAGGCAAGCTCGACTAGACTTGCCCAGAGCAGCGTCCAGTTGTCACTATTGTGGCTGCGCTAATCGTGCGCGCACCTTCGGGTTGTGGGTTCCCATTGTTTCAGTTTGACAGTGCCGATGGTGGGTAGTGTAACCAAGCATTTTTTCCTTTAGACTGCATGATGATATTCCCTAACTTATTATGGAGGTTACAACTACAAGGACTGGGGGGCAGGCTTGCAGATAGGGAACTGGAATCGATTTGGGTGAGCGATTGGAAGCCAGAGAGCCCTTAGTTGCCCTGTGTATGCTTTTTGTTTGGGGTGTTTCTCCTTTCGGCAGGTTTCTCCAATTTCGGGTTGCATCAGCTGTCCTATATTTCTCCTCGAAGGGTGGTTTGAAATATCACCTTTTTGGCCAATTCGGAGTGAATTTCATTTGGGAAATCTAGGGAACCCTGGGGAAGACTTCCAAGAACTAGCTCCCCAAGCCAAGTCCCTCTGTTTTTTTAAAGCTCCGAACCCTTGAGGAAGTCTTTGGAGTGATAGAGTCCCTATTCTGGATAGGTGCGCTTTGCGTTTTGTTCGCACCGCAGCTCTTTTTGCTAAGCCCGCCCCCCTCCCGCCCCAAGGTGGACTCAATCCCCGACAGTTCCCCTTTGCACTTCTTGGGTTCCAAAACATTGAAACCTTGCTTCACAGGATCGTTGGAAGTACTTGGATGTTAATTAGACGAACCCCAGCTACCAGGTTACAAACGTGGTTGGAGCCTACCTTCTTACAAAGTTGGCTTATTCAGATTGAAGAGTGTCTTTTTTGGACAGGATTCTGTGAATTTTCCGGTAGATTCAGCTTTCTTACGCAACAAAGGCTTCCGCCAATCCCGCAAATAGGGAACAGAGGATGAATGACCCCAATGTTGATTAATTCGGGGAATAAGGGGAACCACCTCCCAATTATTCCCTCCGGTCGACCAGTCAGCCGTCAACATGATGATTCTTGTTGTTTCGGACAGTCTGGGCAGGGCCTAAATAAGTAGAATGGGGTTGTGGCATACGCCAAAGCCACATGTGGTCATGATTATAGGGGTAAACCAATAGTAGTGATTGAGCCCCTGACATGATAACTCCGTTCATGTGGGTTCAGGTTGGCGAATTACTCTCAATCACGATCAAGGAACCTACAGTCCACTTGGGGGCCTCCTGTTTGGGTTCCATGTTTTTCTCCAGTTTTCAGGGAATTGCTTGGTTCGGATTTTCGGAGGCATGGAGCTCACATACCAATTCTACATACGGCCCACACTGCCATTGGCTGCCATCAAAATGATACTGTAGAATGTCTCCAAAGCCCACAATTTTGACCCAGGATCAATAAGCCCCTGGTTGTTTCACGGGCCCTCCCCCCCTTGCAGATGCAGAGGGGTTGTGGGGTGAACACCCCCGAAATCCAGCGGGTTTATTGATCCCGGGCCGACACCGGGAAACGGTGTGCGGGATGGGCGCAGGAGTATGCGAAGATTTGGCACATGCTGCAGGCAGGGAAGCGGATCCAAGAACCCAACGGCCCAAATACTCGCAATGGTTAGCGCTCCAACCGAGGCCCAAACTCGGAAGGGTCGGGCGGTGTTTGAAGGGTCCCTGAAAAGGGGACACGAACCCGTCGTCCAGCTGGTACCTAACGTGTCATCTGATTCCGATCGGAACCCATTGAGCTTGTTCTGCTAGAGGGACCAAGGCGAGCGCGGCTTTCAACTTCAGAGCCAGGGCCAGTTGATGGGTTTGGAGCTTTTTCATGAATTCAAGGGCTTCTGTCTGGCTCTGTTTGTGGTTTTCTTTGGGGAGGGTAGTTGCCAAGCCGCCAGCATCCCCACATGGCCATGGGTTCACCACCGGTTTCCCGTGCACGACTCGACAGGAGAAGACGGAGACCTGGCCGTGTGTCCAGAAGTTCTCGATCATCGGGCCGGCAGGCGCGAAGGGGTCTTCCCTTGGGTCAGCAAATGGGTGTGGTGGTCAAAACCAACGGTTCTAGTGGTTGATTCAGTCGTGGTTATGGCACCTTCTTCTTCACCTACTCAAGGCTGGAGACATCGCAAATCATTCTAGTGGTTGATTCCTTTTCCATTCTTTTCAACTGTTCATTTTTTTTTTTAAACACCAGCTGTTTCCCCTTCTATTTGTTTTTCTGGAAAGAAGGATCCGTGGAAAGAATGGGGAAGTGTCCCCTAGAATGGTACCATGTTGGGGTAGGTGCACCACGCATTTTAGAACCTATGTTAGTGGGGATTGGGATGTTCGCTGGGGGTTCGGGATTTTGACCCATGGCGAAATTGCCCAGGGTTTGATTCCAAAGGGACCACCCGAGAGGGATGTTTTGTTTCTGCCCCAAAGAAAGCACCCCGTGAACGTCAGTGGGTTCAAATGGCGGCATCGAGCCAAAGTGGCGAAATGGAGCCAACATGGTTGGGACAGGGCCTCAAAAAGCAACGTGCTATACATATGAATATGCATATATGACATAATACATACATATCTGTCTATGTAATATATACATGTTTGTATGTATATCATACATCAACAACGCACATCTATTTGTGTATGTCTGGATAGAGTTCGACCCCTTTTGCAAGGCGAGACCTTCCCGAACTTGGAAAAGGGCCCCTTTTGCGCCAAGCCATGCTTGGTGGGGATGTACTTGGGTCAACCCACGGATGGGCCTCTTGCCAGTGCGGTCAAACGGCTCTCTTACTTGGGGTTAGTTGAGATGGACATGGGCCCTTAGGGATTCTTGGCAGCCATACGTCTGGGTGAATGATAACGACCTCACACGACCGAATTCACCCCAAATGGTGGTTTATGTGGGGAATATCCAATCACCTTATTCAGGCTGGTGAAAATATTATAATTCACCCAGATACGTAAGCGAAGGTAGGGTCATGAATCATGTCTATCCTCAGATCTGGTTTTACATTCTAGAATGGACCAGATATGACACATAATCTGAACATATTTTTGTGTATTCTGGGGTTGGGCAAACCTGTTTTCCTGCCAGGTGTTGGATAAGGAAGCCGCTTGCTTTCCTGTTGTCATCCTTTGACATTTGCTCTGTGCCCAGCGCGCAGTGTCGACCTCTTCCCCAACTGTAAAGGCCTTGTTTGGCGCCCAGGCAACATTCCTTTCTGTGGTGGTTGAGCAGTTTGGTCGTTTACTTATTTGCCTAAGGGGTAAGATCGGTTGCAGTCTTGCTTAGGGCTAAAGAAGCGTCGTCCCAGCAGACCCCATGCGATGGCTGGGTTTGATCTGGGTTTCTCCATCCAAGGGCAAAGTTCTCAAGACCTGGGATGTATGAATCTGGAAGCCTAGCAGCAACTTCCTTGCATTGATAGGAACGGTCATCCGCCTTGAGGAAACTATTCTAAGGCTTCCTTCTACCGCCAAGGTACAGTGTACAGTGTGCAGTGCTGGTTGTGAATGCAAGAGGTTCCCTCTAAGGGAACTACCATGGCCCACGGCAGGAGTTTTGGCCAACTAAGCCCTCAACTGTTGGGTTGGGTCCCTGTTTTCTTTGGTCGGGTTTCTGACTGGCCTTTGGGCGATTCGGTCCAATGCTCCAGTAGTTTGTGGTTCATGAGCCAAAAACCCTGGGCAACCTCGCTCCATTTCCCACAGGAAAGAGGCATACACCCGAACTTTCCCACGTCTTGGGGGAAATGTTTCATTTTGATGCCGAGCTCCTGGGCTCCGGTGCGCTCGGGTTGAGTCCTGTCCGTGCAGGGGACGACTTCGTGGCGCAGGTGCAGGAGGCTGTGAGCTCCTCCCTGGGCGCGGAAGCGGAGAAGGCGGATTTCGGGTTTCGGTTTCGGGGTCGGTCGGCGATTTGGGAGGGAGAGATGGCTCTCACGCGCGGCCCAACAGAAGCTCTCTTAGCCTAAGACTGCGCGACATGCTCAAAAGACTTACAACCAAAACTGGGGTCTCTTCCAACAATATTTCACATTTTGGAGCAACAGAGTCAGAAAGCATGTTCTGTGCACCCCAGATGTGGGCCGAAAATAGAGGTGCCCAATGAAGTAACCCGTAGTTGGTGGCTCTGATTGTTGGTTTGGGGAGTCGGACCCCAGGTTCTTGAGGGTAAATGGGACACCACCTCGAAACGCCAATCCAAATCACCAATCCAAACCACCAATTGCATGACTCTTTGGTGCGGCCCCTCCTTTTGGAAGCAAATGGAATTTCCATTAGTCATTAGACCTACAACAAGGTTTTCATTTCGTTCGGGGCTCAGAGAGCAACCCAAGGTCTCTACAGTTCCCAAGCAGCGGTGGCAGTCCGTGCGCCCGGCGCCCCGGTTCTCGCCGGCGCTTTTGGGGTCGACAGATGTTGGGCCTAAAAAAAGAAAAACATGAAACCCGAACGCTCCAGTGGCACCCTGCTTCGGTGCTTGGGTTTGGTTCTTTTTTTGGAGGAACCCTTGCCATTTTCGGGGGTCACCTGTGACAAAAAGCCCACCGCACGCCACGTCGCATGCAACCAACCCTCGTTCCCCCAAGCACCAGACCATCCGTGGGATCGAGCCGGGAGCTCTTGGCCACCTCTTGAGTATCGGGGCTAGAAACTGGATGCCAAATATACCCTAGGGTTCAACCTGGTTGGCAATTTAGATGGTGAAACTTCTCAAGTTTACATACTGGTGGTCATGTTGGCCCATGATACTGCATGGTCCAAACTAGCATTTGTTCGGCACTTTTGTCCTGTGCTCTTGTACAATAGGGGCTCGGAAGCTTCTTTTTGGAAGCTGGTCGATTGAAATGGGGAAAGCATCCCAGTTCCATCTCACCCATGCAGAATGGGTTGAATGGCTGTTCATGCCCCCTCAAGGACACCACCTCGGCGAATAACAAGGCCACTTCAGGGGCCTCTACCTGGAGCTCGGAGTGTGGAAAGGGAGTGCCGTGAGGCTTACCGTTTCAACAAGACCCAACCTTCGTTTGGCGAAGAATCCGTGCCTTGTTTTGTTTCTCTCAGGATCCCCTTCCTATTTGCCCAACACATATTGAAGTTGAAATCCCATGTCGGGACAATGTGATATTTTCTTCCTCGACAAAGGGGAATTGACATTTTGGCCTCTCGTGGTTTCCATTTGGTCGATGCGCAGTCCAGCTGCCAATTTTCTCCGACTCTGTTTGGCCCAACTTTTCCCCGGTTTTCGCAAAGAACAACTTTTCAAAGCTAGTGCTATGGTCAAAACACCCCATTTACTTGGGTTGGTAAGGATGGTCATGGACCCTCGAGCAAGCTTAGACAACCGCTCCCCTAACAAAGTGTGCCTCCACTTGCCCAAACCAACGATTGGCGACCAGAAATCTTAGTTGCTTATAGGGGCCAGCATGAGTTGATGACGCATATGCTTACTTCCTGATACTTTTGTGAAGCCTATTTTAGTGGCCTTTATACAAAGCGACCATCCACCTGTGCCGAAGTGAGCTTTTGGTCGGTGTCCCTCTAAGATTTCAACAAGACAAGGGTTCCCTGTTGCCTTTCAGGTCACTGGCCTGGGTCTCTTTGCATTTGAGAGCGGGGCCGCTTTTGTTGCCTATCCGCTTGTTCGGAAGTGAACAAATCAGCCAACCAAACCATGCTGCCTCGATTCCAGTGCTTTTTTTGTGCTGCAATGGGCATAAGAGGTTTGACAGTACATCGCTGACAGGCCTGGACGTGCGCTGTGCCTCTCCTGACGACTTCTGCCTGCTGCACTCCCGGCTGAAAAGCTTGCCCAACGCGCGCTTCCTCTTGTAAACTCCTGACTGCTTCGGGGCTCCCCCAACGTTCCCTTATTTGGGCCCATGCAATTTGCGTGGGGTGATGTTTCAGTGGGAAAATATGGGGAGCCCCGTGCTTGCGGTCCTTCGAGGTCGCGCAGCTTTGGATTTTTTTAGGGCGCCACGCAACGCTTTTGCCGGTGGCCGCTTCTCTCTTTCCGGGAACTGACTCCATGTTGGGAAGTTAGGAAATTGAAGGTTGCAAACAAGCAGGTCCCAAGAGAATTGTTCTCCTCGATTTGCTTTCTCCTTTCATGGCCCCTTTGGTTTCCTTTGGTTTTCCTCTGCTTCCTGAGTAGAGTCTCGGCCTTGAGCCTTCCTTTTTGGCGCCGGTTGCTTGGTCATACAGGTGTGTGTCGTTTTGAGGGTACCAGTTTTTTGGGGGTTTGTCGAGGGAAACCTAAAGGCGACACACTATTTTTTGGGGCCCTATTTCGAGACACACACACACACAGAGAACTGACTTATCCAAACACACACTTTCAAACTTTGTTTTCGTTGTCTACATTTAGTTCAGTCTTCGACCGTTTGCAGCCGCTCACCATCGGCCTCTTCAAGTGCTCGGGCGCCCTGAACTTTTGCTGCCTTGTGGCAGCAGTCGAAAGCATTTGAGTTCTGAGCGATGGACCCGGGCGAAGGTGAACAGACCCATGATGATCCTTTACTTGGGGCAGCATTACTTCCAATTTGTGTTTGCCCAGATGCGTGATTTGTGGCGCTCGACCAGATTCATGAGACTTTGACCTTTGGGATCGCCTGTATATGGCCCATGAGAGGCCTGCAATGCTCCATCAGTACTGATTGGATGTACATCACGTGTCCAATTGTACATCACGCCCGCACATGTATGGCGAGCTCACTGTTAAATCCCTTATTTTTTTTGGTTCGAGGCTTCCAATCTGGTGATTCAATTGTCAATGCCCGAGTGATTTTACAACCATTGCCGATCGGTACCCGCTTCGAATTGAAGGAACAAACGCTGCAATTTGTACATGTTTAGAATTTATAGGGATTTATGACATGTCCCACTTAACGTTAACGTTTGACTTCTAGGGATCAACGAACCACCCAGAAAACGGGGGTGTTCCTTTCTTGGGGGAGACACAGCCTTCTGCCGCGCGGGTCCCGTCCCATCGCTCGGGCCCAAACCCGGGCCCCATTTTTCGCCGCGCAGGGCGGCTTGGAAAGGAAAAGGTGCGCATCTTCCTCTGGGCCAAAAGTTGTCATAGGTGTCCTTTTCAGGTTAGTTTGGTGAAACAGCTCACGGCTCTCGTGCAAGATGGGGCTTGTTCCATTTACCAGGGCCATCTACTTCTCCAAAAGGCCACCAATGGTTGTGGGTTGCTGCAAGAGCGTTTCGGTGCCCCGCTTCCGTCTGAGTTTCAAGCGATCGGTTCCTGGTTGTTGCCATCAATTTTTGGGTTCATCCCAAGGGAACGACCCAAACCTCAGAAGAATTTTAGGCTTCCTCGGGTTTCCCGAACATCGGCTCCCCTTTTGGGGTGGGGAATCCAAAAGGACACCAAAAGCCAATTTGGAATGGTTGACCTGGCTAGCTCAACCCAGATTGCACCCTTGCCATCTCTTTTCGGCGGTTTATCGCTAGTGGAATCAACCACAAAGGAATGGCAGCAGTGTTGGATACAATCCAGGGCCTCAAAGCTTAAAGTCAGAGAATCTGCAGACCAGCCCAAATGGTTGTGGTCTTTATGAGCCTTGTCGGGGCCAAATCTGCGGTCAAAGGGCCTCAACGGTTGGGGGAGGAGTCTTGGGGGCGTATCACGCCTGATTCAGAAGCACCAAGGGGTACCTTCAGGGTGGAAACGCCAGACCGGTTTTGCATCGAACAGCTATAGGGTAGGCAACCCTAGGTTTGGGGCGGATGTCCAGGTAGGTTGAGCTGGGGATGCTTGGAATTATTTCGAGTTGCACTCATACATGTATGCACAAATGAATCCTTTCTGGCAGATCGGTTTGAACACCCACTTGGCCTCAGGGGTTCTGCTTTACCATGTTTGCAAGCTTCTACCCCTGTTGGGGATAAAAGGAACATCCAATGATTTTCAACCATTGACGATGGCAAAGAAAGCTGCCATTACGTGCCATTACGTGGGAACCCCCAACCAAATTGTATAGGACTCGGCGGGGTGGGGGTTGGGCGGGGGGCACCTCTTCTTGGGTTGCTTCCGTTGCTTTGCGTTATTGAGCGTCGGGTGGCGTGGGACATCCGGGCAACCAAGACCAACTAGTGCAACGTCTGAATCGCTGCAATAGTCTTTTGCAGGGTCCGTGAATATGTTACACAGCTTGATTTCTTGGAAACACTGAGTCATCGGCTCTGTCCTGGGAGACTAAGACAAGCCAGGGGAAGCCCCTGATAAACTTTGCCCTTTGCTGTTTGGGAAGATGTGCTCCTCCACTGGTCAACAAAAGTGAGACTTTTGCACAGGAACCAATAGCCACCCACTTGGAAGGCTGCCCCGAAAGGCCAGGAGTAGAACATGGTTCATGGTCAAAGACCTGGTTACTTGTGTCATTGCCAGTAGCGTTCCCAGCAAAAGAGACCCAGCATGCAATACAAAGAGGGCTGCTTGGGTTCGGCCAATGGGGGATCGACCGCTCAATTCCCCACAACAATTGAGGTACATCTACAAATGTCCCGTGTCTTGTGGGAAGATGACGGTGGACCTTGTTGGTCCAACTCAATTTTCCGTGGGTTTCCTTCATTTTTCTCTTTGATTCCATCAGAGGAATCACACAGTTCTTGTCCAGACAACGGCGCATAGTTCCATGGATTCCAAGCAAAGAAGCGCCCTTTTCGAAGATAGGTTAGACAACCGCGCAAGTTGTCCCAACCGACCCCTTCCCAACTGTTAAGGCCTACTTGGTCCTGTTTGTTCTCAATAGTGGCTTGGGGCAAGTGGGCTGTAGGGTCCCTGGCTTCACAAACCAAACGCAACGAAAACAGCGAGCCGGGCAACCCCGAGGCGAAGTTTTATTTTTGGACGCTTGAAACAACCGAACAAAACCTTCTGCGACTCTGTGGCTCACAGTGACGACCAAAAGAAGAGGGGCCATTGCGGGGAGGCTACGAGGGCAGGGGCTTTCTCGCTTGTGTGGTGTGACACGTCACAGAGTGTGTGTGTGTGTGTGTGTGTGTGTGTGTGTCTGTGTCTGTGTCTGTGTCTGTGTCTGTGTCTGTGTCTGTGTCTGTGTCTGTGTCTGTGTCTGTGTCTGTGTCTGTGTCTGTGTCTGTGTCTGTGTCTGTGTCTGTGTCTGTGTCTGTGTCTGTGTCTGTGTCTGTGTCTGTGTCTGTGTCTGTGTCTGTGTCTGTGTCTGTGTCTGTGTCTGTGTCTGTGTCTGTGTCTGTGTCTGCGTTGTGTCTGTGTCTGTGTTCATGTTGAGAGGACATGGGGTGTCTATCCAATATCCCCTATTTTCTGCAACAAAATAGGGCCTACCAAATTGAACCAACTGTAAGTGATATTCTCCGTGGTTGATATCAATTTGAGGTCAGAGCCTGTCGGAATGCTGTTCGCTGAGAACCTAGCCTTGTTCGTTTCAGCTGAACATTGACAGGACTGATAAAACAATAAAATATAAAATACAAAAATAAACATAAAAGTAAAACATGGGTATATATATATATATATATGTATAATTACGTTACTGGCACCTTGGCATAGCTGCACTTGGAACTTCTGTGTGTTAGTTAGGTGCATTCTTTGGTGTAGCGTTTGTTCTGCACACATTTTCGTGGGCTGCAACGGCCAACACCACCGAATTGGAGAAAGCACACATTTGGCTGTGCATTTTAATAGGGACCCTCAGGAGTTTTTGCAGGTTTGTAGGCTGAGGCCTTTTAATAATCTTTTCTGGTAAGCTAATTGATAGCCTATTTTCTTTCAAGTGTGAGTGGCCCTCCAAGTATCAAGCAAGCATTCGGCTGGTTTCAATCGGGCCATGTACTCCTTCTTTTGCGCTCGCCAACCCCTTTGAACTCTGGCAGGAGTCGTGTCAGCACGCGGGTACCCGGGATAGGACTTAACAGGTTTTGGTAAGACAAGGTCGAAACAATGTTCCAAAACACCGAGCCCCTCAAAGTAGACTGCTCCCAACTACTTTGGTGGGTGGTTTCCCTTCAAACTACTCTTTATCTGGCAATTTGAGCAAGTCGCTTGAGCGCACGCAGGAACTTTTGCAGCCCTCGTAGCTGTACATCAGTGGCGATATCTCTTGACGAAACACCACGCGGTGTTTTTCCTCGACAACAACGGAGTGAGAGACTCATTGATCGCGTGAAGGACGACGTCTATTGAAGCTGCCCCCTGTGAAGCCCTCCTCTCCTTAGAGGATTCTCTTGAAATCATCCCATGGTTCTCTCGGGTTCCTTCCGAGGCGAACATTGCAGACGGCCCATCCAGGGGCGACACATCTGCCACAGGGGAGGAGAGATGTGCCCCCTCCTGCCCAGAAATTGCGCAGTGCTGGACTTGGCCGAAGTAACTCCAGTATGCATCCGCGTGTCGCCTTCGGATTCGGCACCCAGGGAAGTTACTTTCATAAGAAACCCGGATCCGATGACCTGAAAATGTACATTGGGGTGACGTACATTCCGAGATATTGGCTCAGGGCATCTCACTGGTGGTGGGAATGAGGGCGTTTGCTTCTGTGCCTGAAGCGATTTGTGTTGTGACACTTGCGGTTGGAAACTACGCAGTTGTATTTCCAGATTTGGCAGATTCCCTGCACAACGAAAGAAGTGGGTGCTGGCTTATTTGTTTCCGTTTAACAATGCCACTGTAGAGGCAACCTTCTCTCTTGGGGAACATGAGCATTCAACAGGTTGGCCAGTCCGGCGTTGACAGATTGACATTAGACCAACAACACACTTTGGTGCTCCTTTAAACCAACCCCTAACAAGGGTTAGCCTCAAAAACACAGCCTTGGCGGTTCCCAGCCATGCCCTCAGATTTTTATTGTCACTTTTAGCGCTTTTTGGCGTTTTAATTGCCAGGGCTGGTGTTTCTTAGGCCTGGTTCCCTGGCAGGTTGGTTGGTGGGTGGGTGGTGGTTGGCTGCATCCCCCAGCACAGCTGGAAGTTTCTTAGGGCAGCGGTTTTTAGGCGAGCCCTAGTTCAAGAAGAAGCACCGTTCCCCCCGCGTTTGGCGGGATATGTGCCATACCGTGGATGGACAGAATCCTGCACCGAAGAAAGCCCTGATGATTCCCTGCGAAAACCCACCAATGGCGCCCCTGGAAACTCCAAGTGCGACATGGATTTCGTCCGTCCGCATCTCACCAAGAAACCACTCTTGGGAGTCAGCCGCAAGGCCATGGAGCGACTCCAGCGTCAGCCCAGGCCCCGAAGGGGCTTTGGGTACGTCACCTTGGTCAGTTTCCTGAAAGTGGGTCTTGGTTCGAGTCTTGAAGGGGAAGTGGTATATTCCAACAGGGGAAGTTGTATATTCGAGAAACTGGCAATTTGTCCGGGAATCATTTTGAACAGCCAGTTCCATGGTGACATACCTACATTCTTAGGCAGGGGTTGACATCATACCGCAAGAACCGGGCGTATTGGGTGTAAGGGGAAGACAGCCCCCAAGCCACTTCACCCAGAGGAAAGCAATTGGTATATGTTTCCTCCAATAATGTTCTGCATATATATATATATAACAATATATATATATATATGTATTAATATATATACATAATAGTGCTATATCCTGGCTATATAGCCCATTCAACCTCTGGGGTAGTTTGGTAGAAGTGGAATCATCTTTAGAATGCCTGTCAGGAATGGCGACCAGAATGGGGAAAGTGCGGCTTTCCCGCAAGGGGAACGTCAGGGGTCCTCATGTTCCCTTTTTGGAATCGCAGCGATGCAGGCTGCCATAGGTGTCTTCCAGCTTGAGTGGCTGCTTGCTCTGGACATATCCATCGCCACCACCCAAAGGCCTCCAGAAGCCTTCGCCCCGTGAAGCCTAAGGAACCCTAAGAGAGCTGCGCCAAACCAGTTTGATCAGTTCGGTGGCAGCCTCATGTTGAAGAAAATCAACAACCCACTTGGCCGCCTTTGCTTATACGTGGCGCTGTCAACCTAGCTCCATTTTGGAGGTTTATAATGGGCTTTGGCGTGATCTGCGCCCCCTAGACCTTCTGGGCAAAAATAGGTTTTCCATTAAACCTGGAGCTGGGAGACTTGGAGCAACCCAGGTTAGCCCGTTTGGGAGTGTCATTTTCTAATGGTACCCTTTCTGGAGGTGGTTTTGACCACGAAATGGTCCATATCCGTTTTTGTTGGTGGGTGTGTGGCTAACTTGGAGATTTGCCCGGAGTTTGTTTCTTAAAGGAGAAGCACCATTTTGGGATCCCCACCAAACCATTCGGCGATCGCTAGGCCAGCCGGCTTGCGCCGGCTCGGGGTGTTGCGGCACCGCCGGCACAGTTCAAAGCGTGCGTTTGGTCACCCCCCCCCCTCCACCCCGGGTCTCCAACTCACTCCCTGAGTTTCTGGAGTTCAAACTTTTTGGGAAGACCGTTTGAGCGGTAAAACAACAAGTTTAGACTTGTTTTGGCCCATCCACTCAGGAAGTGAGCCAAAAGGTTTCATCTTTTCGGGTCGACTGGTTTTACTGATATGCCACAGAATCAGAGAACATACTTTAAGAGTTCCGAAGATGTGGGCGCTTGGCCCAAGCGTCAGCGCCTTCCGAGGGCTATCTAATGCTGTCCTAGGTGCTCTGATTTTGGGATTTGAAGGAATTGCGATAGCCCTCGGAAGGTGCTGGAACGGACTGACGTATGATTTAATTTCATACGCTGTTGTCTTATCATGACGTAGTGGTTTGGCAGTACCGCCTATCTCATTCCAAACAAACTAGTCATATGGGTTTGTGTCAGAGTAGGGAAACCTCGGTACGCTCAATAAACACGATCCAGGCCAGTCACAGTTACCTTAGGGGATTTGGATTGCGACCTCCAGCCTCAGGAAGACGGATCCTTTCTGGGGGCGGGACCGATCGGCACCAGTTGGGATGCATGAAATCCTATGAACACGACGTACCGAGCTCGGGGCAGCTTGCATTTTTCCAGGAGGGTTCACGAGAACTCATCGGAATCGCTCAGAACACCCGAAAGAAGGCGCGTGTACAAGTTCTAACCAGCTCACAGGGCTTAAAAAGGGTCGCTGCCGGCCTTTTACCCCTATGCGTATGCAGTTGCAAGCAACACATGCAGACACATGGCCGTGCTCTTGTCGCCAATGCGGTACTTGGGTCATATTCGTTTTGCAAGTCTATTTGCGCATTAATAATAATAATAATAATAATAATAATAATAATAATAATAATAATAATAATAATAATAATAATAATAATAATAATAATAATAATAATAATAATAATAATAATAATAATAATAAATAATAATAATAATAATAATAATAATAATAATAATAATAATAATAATAATAATAATAATAATAATAATAATAATAATAATAATAATAATAATAATAATAATAATAATAATAATAATAATAATAATAATAATAATAATAATAATAATAATAATAATAATAATAAAAATAGAATAATACTAATAATAATAATAATAATAATAATAATAATAATAATAATAATAATAATAATAATAATAATAATAATAATAATAATAATAATAATCATAATAATAATAATAATAATAATAATAATAATAATAATAATAATAAACACAAACACAAACAAACAAACACAAAAATAATTTTCCAAGCCCATTGTTCTGCTTGGGTTGTGATCGTTTCGAGCGGGTCCCAAGAATTGAACAGGTTGACGCCGAGTTCACGGAGGCTTCCGATTTGGATTGACATTGGCAACCCCCCCCCCCCCCCCCGAAAAGTTCTCAGAGCCCTAAGGTTCTCACTCCCGAGCTCCTGCTCGGAGTCGTTTTGAAAAGAGCCATTTGGGGCTAAGCTTGAGAAGTGAGGAATCCCATTCCAATTTGGGGTTCGACCTTTGTAGTTTGTTTGCTATCTAAGATTGCTTTCTGAAATTGGGTAAATCGCGATATGCCATCATGTAATGTTTGTATTGATATACCCTAGTTTGAGAACTCGTTTGGGGCTACTGGAAGCCATCTTAGAGGCTTTCCTTTTATTTTAATTATCCTTGTCCAACCCCCTTCCCCATTCTTTGCCCACAAGGTGCTGAAGGAGTTTGGGGGGGGGGAGGCTCCTCTTCAGCGCTTCACTTTCGCTTGCCAGGTGCGAGCGCGCGGGCCTTGGCTGGTGGCTCTGGAGGAGATGTCTCACGACCGCCTGATTCATGGAGGTTTCTTACCTTCGCTTTCGCGAGGTTCTGCTCAAGGCTTGAGCTTCGCAAGTCCAGTTGGACTTGATACTCTTGAGGGACGTTTTTAGGCCGGAGGTTCACAGGGACTCTGTGGATCATCCAAAGATGCCAAGGGTTGGGGGTTAAAAGCCAACAGTTGGGGTGTCGGGCGTCTCGGGGGGTTCCAGGTGCCCGAAAGTACAGAAGCTGGGAGACGGCTTCCTTTTGGCTTCCTACGCCCGAACAAGAGAAGGCCCTTCTTTTCCGACAGCCTTCAGAGCGATGCTTTGTTTTTCCCGGACTATCTAAACCGCGGCACCCCAAAGAAGGCGGTGTTCCTTTTTTGTTGTCTCTTTAAGCCAACCCGCAAGGAGACCCTGAGCAAACGCAAGCGCCTGTTGGTTGCTATAAAATTTTAGAGCCAGGGGGTTGGCACATCATGGAAGCTCCCGAACGGTTTTCTTTGGAAGACGTTGGTGACCCATGTACAGGATCGGCCAATTGGGGGAGCTTCCGGCTGTTCGTCTGAGGGATACGTAGCCCCGAACCAAAACTTGCTGGTGCGACAAGTAGGGAATGAGGGAATGAGGGAATGACCCCGTTTTCAACCATCTCCTCTGGTTTCCTTTAAGGACATTCCCAGGTTTGTTCCATTTCTCCTTCCCATGGAGACGCCCAGCGACGCACCGACCCAAGGCTTCGACCCCGTGGAGGGCTGCGGGCTCCAGGACCTGGCGAGGCGGGGTCCGAAGCCAAAGGCGAACGAGGCAAAGGACGCCGGGCTCGGTTTTGTTTTGGGGGCATCATCTCATTTTTTCTTTTTGGTCGCTTCTGTTTGGTTATAGGGGCTGCAAACCCAGGACGCCCACATCCGTGAATGGAGGTTTGTAACCCCATGTAGCACCAGCCAAGCTTGAGGGCTGCCACACCAAGGGCTCTTTCACGGGGAGTCGGCCCAAAGGCAAGCCTCGCGATTTCCGAGTTCCGATCGTTTCTGGGGTAACACGACGCTTGTCTTGGGATTCCTCCATTCCAGTTTGAGTGAGTCGCAGGTTGCTGGATCCTTCTTGCCCTTCCCGCTCTTTCCGGGCGAGGCCGCTAGGCAAAGAAGAACATGGAGAGCCGCGCGGGCGAAGAGGGCCACTTTTGATGCCAGGGACACCCTCTTGGAAGTGACAAAGTGATCATGATATAGCGCAACCAGTGCGTGGGAACAAAACAATGGGGAACAACAGTGGTTCGGGGGTTGGAAATATTACTTAGCACACCATGTCATATTTCGTTGAGCTGGACTATTGGGCTGGCTGAGTTAGCAAGCTTATGATTTGCTTGTGCGTGCGTGTGTGCGTGTGTGTCTGTGTGTAGCGCGCGCGCGCGCGCTGAATCTTAATTTTGTCGCCAAAGGAAGCCACAAGGGAGTGGTTGTATTTTGCTTTTTGTTCAACCCCCCCATGTTGCACGTAGAAGAGTTTATAGAGAGTGCTCGAACATGTGATTTTGTCGGAGTGTGTTTTAGTGTCTAATTTTAACGCCCAAAGAGAGGGGATTAGAAAAGTGTTCCCAAACAGAGTTCTCCGAACCTTGACCATTGGCACTGGGTCCTCTTGTGGTCCTCTCCAGTTTTCAACAAAGTGGGAGTGTGTGTCTTTTTGCAGCGTTTGCTCCCATACGATTCAGAGCGGTCCACCAGTTCCCCAGCTTAGGTATGTTCAGGCATCCCACAACCGCCCAAAAGATCCGGCGAAGTGACCTGAGTTTTTGGGGTTATTCCCTTTCAACCAGCGCGGGAATCGTGGTCTGGGGCCCCATTTTTGTAGCCGCACTAATTGTGCCGAGCTTGGCCAAGGGTACAACCAGCTCACCTATGAAAACTGTTCTCTGTACATTGGGCCAGGACCTCAATATTTTGATGTATTTTGGGCTTTGGAGGGTACCCTATAAGGGACCGCGCATTTTTTTGACAGAATTTGAGCCCCATTTTGTTTTAAAACCCACAGTCATTGTCAGCTAGTTTCTCGACATGGTGGACCCGGTGTTGGCATTTCAAGGACAGAGGAAACTCATTTGAGGACAAGGACCCCCACGTGGAGCCCACCATTTCCAGTTGGCCGGCGGTCGCCCAAGGACCGTCGGCGTGGGCGATGGCACTTGGATCCTGGAGAGCCCCGCGCGGGAGTGGATGATCAAGAAGGCGAGGGCCTTTTTTGGGCCATTTTTCTGGGTGGTTCTACCAATGACCGGGTCAAAAGAGTTGGTACCGCAGTAAAGCCCATATATACGATTTTGGGCGGCTCTTAAATGTGACAGGGTGTGTTTTCACCGCTTTTGCGCCTAACTCAAAACAATGGTCCTGGTTTTGGGCCATATTTAAACTATCAGTCCCTGAGTTCAGGACTTTAGTTACTTTTTGGAAGACCACTTGAGAAACACACATTTTGGGCTTGCTTTTTGCCCATCCACCTCGCTTAACAGGTTTAGCGGGCGTGTCTGAGGCGGAGAGAGAGAGAGAGAGAGACCACACAACCTTCCAAGCCTTTGTGGACTGCGAATTGGAGAAGCTTGGAATGGTAAGAGAAAGAGCCGAATGAATGAAATTGCTCTCTCACTCATTTTTTGCCCGTCCTCACTTGCTAATGGTGGATCACTTGGGACAGGGAAGAGATGGGAGAGTAAAATAATCTTCGCTAGCAATATCCTGTCATTTGATTCTCTTTGTTGGGATGTTGGAGACAGAGATTAAGATCTCAAAATAATGTCAAATACATACAATACATACAACAAGAGGAGCAAGATATAGAAAATTAAATATACATAAAGGCAATCGCATCATGATCTTCCAGACATTAGCCAGCATAGGAATAGGCTTATGCGTCTCTCGACTAGCCTTATCCGTCTCCTGATGAAGTGCTTCAACGCGGGTTGAATACACATCAACGCAGGTTCAAAAAGCCTCCGCCCCCACCACAAGAAGAAAGACATACCATGCAGCCCTTGGGCGTAACGGCTGTCAAATGAGCCTTAAACCTTCCCGGTTTTGGGGCCCGAGCCCCTCCACGGTTGGGCAAGTTTAGTTCAAACCCTTGATCAGATTGGGCATGTTAGCCGCTTTGCACATCAAGCAGCCAAAAGGTTGGCTGCCTGCAGGTCTTTAGGTGATGAGCCCAACGCATGGCTGAGCCATCATCGGCGAGTTCCCCTGGCCGGCGCGGGAGGAGGAGATGGTCTTCATAACCTATGTGGCTCCGGGCCGATGCGTCAGCTCACAACGGTGGAAGGGCAGCAGAAAATCACGTGGTTTGGGCGGATCGTTGTATAAAAAGGCGGGGAGCCAAGACAGATGCAGAGCTTGTTAGAGGCAGTTTCCCCATTCAAACTTGTAACGCTTGCGCGTGGCGCCTCTCGTTGGCGTCCAACACCCTTGCAGCGCCGGGTATCATTGCACCGCAGTCGGGCCAGAACCCAGCCGATGCGCCGCAGCTGCGTGGCTCGAGGCATGCCGCCACCGAAGGCAATCCCGGACGCGGGGCGTCGTGATCTGCGACGCCTGGGTGCGTGGAGGCGTCTCCGGGCTGTCTCAACACCAAGAGGCGTCTGAGAGGTGCCAGTGCTGGCCCGCGCTGGCCGATGTCGCGCGAAACATACATTGGAGCGCTCAGAAGGCCATGCTTCGCGCGCCTTGCAGAGCCTGAAGGCATCGGCTTGCGCCATCGCAAGATGGCAGTGTCCTGTTTCGCACCGAGCTGGTATCTGGCCGTGTTTTTGCAACGTCATTGTTTTTTGATGGTATTTCGCATGTTTTGTTGCAACTTCGTGGCTTTTGCAACATGATGACCGAGGCATTTGTTTTGAGCAAGCTTGCATTGACCGCAGCCGTTGTCATGCGGCAAGTTTTTATGCCCAAGCGGTAGCGTACATTCTACTCATACGTATAGCTGGCCATGCGAGAGACTGGCAGTGGCACGGCGTTATCAAGCCGTTCATCAGCGTGGAACTTCTGTATTTGGAATCGCTTCATCAAACATTGTGCAGAGGGGGCAAGAAAGACTCCACCCAGTGGAGACCGTGCTGCGTGAGTCAAGATGGCCACTTCGATTTGCCGCGTTGGTGAATATGGTATGGATTCTACGAGCTCATTGGGACTACATCTGGCGTGGCATGGAAATGAAGCAAGGGCGGGGGCTCGGGCAGCTGCAGCCCCATCCTGGCACAGTGAACCAGGCCTTGGACAGATGGTTTCAGATGAGATTGCCTGCCCAGCATGTCCGTGAGAAGACACCCCCCAAAGAGAACGCATGCAGTCGAACAAGAAGCAGAAGGTGGCCAATACTGCAGAAGGTGACGGGCATGCTGAAGACCTTCATCTCCGAGTGCAACGTGCACTTCCAATTCCAAGAGGAGATCCAGAAAGCGCTAGCGAAAAAGACGAGTGCCTCTGCCAAGGAGAAAAAGAAGAACCCCGCAAAAAGCTTGGTACTTGCGGGTCCTGAGGATTGCCAACGGAACGGGCCACTGGCCATTTCCTTCGTTGGCAACACAGTGGTGCACAAAAGCAGTCCGCCAACGACCGAATGTGTCGCAGAGATCCGGAACAGCGGCCTCCTGGAGAAGCTGCAAAGACCCGAGCGAGGTAAGCTCAGCTTGTTCCTGGATGGCAACAAGAACTGGGGCCGCGCAGCGGCGGCTTCCGGGATGAAATGGGTGGATCCAGACCATTGTTCACCAGGACCGGGAGTTTCACCATAAGGCCACCAAGCGTGTGAGACTCGATGGCGGGACAATGTCCATAGACCCTCGGTGGCGGTCCTTAGATCGGTACCTCCCACAAGGCCTGCATGCCGGCGCGCCCGATCAAAGCACCAACTAGCGAAGGGCTTGAAGATGTATGCCCGCATGTACAGTCAGAAGCAACAAGGACCGAGGACGGAAAGATCGTGCTTTTCTGCAGCAGGCGCGTGTCGGGTCAAGGTGCGCGGAACCATCCATTTCCGCCCCCCACCCCCTCCTTCCCCCCCCATTGAAAAAACTTTTTGTTGCTAGTGCCGGTAGTTGCTCTGTGCGGCGGGAGTGGTTGTAGACGGTTAGGGTCGGTGCTTTAACGCACGAAGGACTAGGGCAAGGCACGAGCCCTGAATAGAACCATCCTATGAATTGCAATCGGGGTCTGGTTGGTGGAGCTGCCGAACTCAGTTCACCCAGGCCAGATAAGGTGGAGACGGCCAAGCCTGCGCATGCCCAAATGGCAAGTTGCAGGGCAATGGGAGGCTTAGGAGAGATTTTGGCACGGCTCCAAATTGCCACAGAAGTCGGGGAAGTGATCAAGTTGCTTAAGACATTGCAGGGACATGTGTTTGTCGTTCGGGAGGCTCTCTTCAAGCGAGAAGGAAAAACCAAGCCTTTTTGAGAGCAAAGGTGCAACCGCAAAAGAGTCGCTGCCTGCAACAAGGCTGAAGTAGTGACGGGGCAGGAGCTACCACATCATCACATCATGAGCGTCTTCGGATGGCCTGGAAGGCAGCGCTTGGCTGCTGAGAAAACCACAGGAAAAAGTTCGAGCACCCGTCTTTGAGGAGGCTTGAGCAGCTTTTGTGGATCTGTCGGAGGCTGGACCCAAAAGAGGTAGCCTTTTGATCAGACTTGGGCATGTTAGCCCCTGTGCACATCAAGCAGCCAAAGGTTGGCTGCCTACAGGTCTTTACAAACAACTTGCCCCACACCCGATCGAAGAGAACCCAACAGGAGGTTGCCGAAATTGGTCTAGTTGTTTTTTGGACAAATTTGGCTTATAGTGAGTTCACACTCAGTCAGCACATGTAGCCCCAATTGTAGCCCACGAATTTCCTGGGACATCTCCAAATTTATGCGATGTAGACGTGCTTTTCAGCAAGGTGTCCCAGCCCTGTGCAGGTCTCCATCGAACGTATCGGCTCGAACCTTCCGACGCAGCTGGAGAACTGTGATGCGCAGGGCGACTCAGTGACGGGTTCCCTTTAGACCGATTCATTGGTGGCTTGGATTGGTTAGATGGGAGGCTGGCCTAAACCTGGGAGTAAGATGATTACGAGGGATGGGCGCAGATGCTTTAGTCTAAGAAATCAGCTACAAGATGTTCAGCAGGAAACCCTTGTTTCCGGTGGGTATGTGGCAAGTTTCCAGTCGAAAATCCTGAAGCAGGTTTCCATGATTTAGGGCATTGAGACCATGGCATGGATGTGTATTGAGGGATGAACCAACGTTAGGACTTGTTGCAGCCCCCATGAAGAACAAGGAAAACAGCTCAATCCTGCCGACGGGTTAAATCCAGATTTTGCCTGTTTCCTAAAAGGAATCAGTTGGATCACCTGAACAGGGGGTGGTGCCCTTGGATTCGTTACAACATCCCAAAATTTAACCCGCCGTGAGAGGTGATCTCCTTTTCGGGGCACGGAGCCCAGGTTGGTTCAGAAGTTCCCGGGCATCGTGCGCGACAAGAAGTGCCGCCCTCAGACAAACCGCTGCTTGGAATGCCTGTTTGGCTCAGGGTCCGGCAGGGTTTATCTTCAACGCCTTTCTGAACACCAAATCGTCGTTGGGACCACGAAGCAACGAATCGCACAAACAATAATTGCGAGGTTTCTCTTTGGCACCATGTTGCCAACTTCAAGGAAGTCTGGACTTTATACTTTCTGGGAAGAACATTTCAGCGACCAGCTACAAGTTTGCCAATCCACTCAGGAGATGATCCTTGTAGCCTTGTTTTATTCCGGGATTTTGCATCCCTCTGCAAAGCCCACGGCCAAGGTTTGCATTTCCCAAGCAGCTTCGTTGATGTCGGCCAACCCATCCCCCAAAACCACCTGATTTGTGGGACACCCCGAGGTAAGCCTACAAGCACGGGGTTTGTTGAAGGGGTGTGCTTTTGGGGTGTTAAATGAAGGGCGAAATGACTGATTCCACATTTGCCTCCCAGCATGAATCAGTTGGTAGGGCAGCGATCCCAATTTTACTTAAGGCCCGAAAAAGTAGATTTGCCCATAGACCCTTTGAGGTCAAAAGGCGAAACCAAAAAGCACAGCGGCCTTCTGAGCCCATCGGAGGCTGGCCTTCCCTCACAGCGTCATCGAGCTCCAGGCGGGCTTTGGCTGTGACTGGGGAGGAGTTGGACGTCGAAAAAACAACAACATGCGGATCAGTTTGAGCGGGGGATGGCGGGATTTTTGGGTTTTCTAAGGCCTTGAAACAAGCATCTTCCGTTGGGCGGCCATTGTTTTTTGCTGTTTTTGGGGGAAGCAGATGCAACTGGCGGAGCTTTCTTCTGGCTTTGACTTCGTGGGGAATCCTTGGAGAGGTTTGGGGATTTGGGGGTGGGCTGTCATCAGCCGTTCGCGCGGACAGTTATTTGCGCGGCCAAGGACCAAAGGGACGTGGTTGTGGAAAGGGGGGTTTTGTGATAGCAAGCTATGGATGGGAATCCAGGATGCTCCGAGCCTCGCAATGACCATACCACAAGAACATTGGTTCGGTTCCTGCTGGTTTCCCTTTAGTAAGGGATGAAGTTTCCTCCCTTCTGCCAATCGGGTCTAGCAAAGACCCTTTGGAGCTCGACCGGTCCACGAGTTGCTCTCACATTCCAGTGTTCTACAGGCCACCATCGCAAAGACCCCGAGGTCCAAAAAGTTTAAACAAGGCCAGGACAGGTTGAGGAAGTCAACAGAATCGATTCCGTTCTTTCCTTTACTCTTGGGACACCACTGGTTCCAAGTAACTGGAACCCGGCATTCGTAAACTCTTGGTTGATTGGCGGGGAGGTTCCTCTTTGAGAGGCAATCCTTCACTTCTTTTGGTCAACCGCCCCTATGAATCCACAGGCCGATTTTCCGGGTTCGACCTCGAAGCAAATATGCTGCAGGTGCATCGTTTCATTGGGGCGAACAGGTGTCACCAGGTCCTTGGACCGCCCCACTGGAATAAAAGAACATACCCCACACTTTCAAGCATTGGGGATTGGTATCGCAGCCACTTTGGAAGCTGATTCGAACCCTGTTTCCCTCTCTTTCTTCTTAAAGCATATTTTTCAAAACCCCCCCCCCCCCCCATGAGCTGCGCACAATATTGGCCAAGCGTGTTGGGTAGTTCACTTTCGGTTTCAGTATTCACATAGAGACTCATTTGGGCATTGAGGCATTGAACAAACGGCTGGGAACCAAAGAGGCCGAGGATCGGTGGGTGTTTGCAGAGGTCAGATACGAAACCCCACTTCGGCATTTTCAACCTGGAATTGACAGAGGCCAAAACAAAGTGAGCTTGCGGGGTAAATGGGAAACCACTTCCTCACCTCCAAACCACCGATTAGGGAGAAGCTGAAGAGAGGCTGCACGTCACTGCCATTCCCTGCCTCAAGAACTCGCGATTCCATGCTCGCGCTTGCCAGGGGCACACCGGTGAACGCGTCAGAGCCTGAAAGGGAGTGTCAGGCACTCATACACACAAATACCAATGATAAACTTTTGGTGTGGGGGAAATCCAGTCCTTGAAAGGGAAACCAACGGGACGTTCCACTGCCATTTGCTCATGTATGTATTGCTCATGTATGTATTTTCCCCTTTGGCTTGAAAAGGACATTGTGATGACCGGCGCCCTCCCACCAATGAATATGAAAGTGCATGGCCCCCCGCCCCCCTTGGATGTTCAACCAACTTGGTAAGTTTACAACCAGGGTTATAGCTTGGGTAACTGGGGTTCCCAATGCACCCGTGGAGTAAGATTCCTTCCACCCCTGAGGTCGGAGACCTGCTGGTCTCGCGGCGCGCGCCGGGGGTGCAGCTAGGCGCGCGCCAGAAATGGGTGACGGCAATGGCCTCGACTTACCCACGTAAAGGGAGTTGGCCATCTAGTTTATGCTTGTTAGAGGGAAAGAAGTTGGCTTGCCAAGGTGGACAGGACTGAGTGAGGAATGGAATGCTTGAAGGAATTCGATGAGAAGCAAACAACGCCCCTGGAGGGGCAATAGGCCGAAATGACACGGTTTGGTGATTTATTTTTCCCCAAGAAGGGTGTTTCCTCTTGGGTGAGAAACCCTGATGGGGTTGCAAGGTTTTCCTGTGTACTAATGCCCGAAAAGATGAGCCCCGAAGGCTTCTGCTAGCACCTTGTTCCAGTTCCCCCAAAGCGAATCGAGCTTTTTCCTTTCCCTTTGTTTTCCTGGTCCACTGTCAAGCTGCCGATAGGTCAACATTTTGACTTGGCACTTCCATGTATTTTGCGACCATGAGGCAGGGCTAACTTTTGCCACTGAGTTGAAGCAAAGTTGAACTACCCGTATTCGTCGAACTTTTTCAGCGGGGTAGGTTGTACCTGCTAACCCGGAGCAAGTAATTTATAACAGCAACTGACTGGTAGAAGAGGGCTAGGAGGGGTAGTCGCAAAGCAAATTGGCCTGTTGACCTGTCGGTTTATTGTTTCGGTTCATTGGTAGTCAAAGTCCGTAAAGACGATCTCTTGACGTTATATGTGATTTTTACATGGCATGTTGACCCCTGGGTCAACCTTTGGCTTCCGGGTTTGTGCAAGACATGAGATCGGTGCAATCAGCTTTCCAGAGTATGGAGTGCATGGAAAACTTGGTTTCAGGACCAATTTCTCTGATACCAATGTCTGAAGAATTCATTCAAGCGTGTGGATGGCATTGGAGCTTTGGTGGTCAAAGTGACAAGAGAGGCTCAGAGGTCTACGTTCGGGGAAGAGGAAGCACCTCGAAACACGCTTGGCGGCCGTCAAGGGTCAGAGCCCGAAGTCAAAAACCAGTGGGAGTTGCGGAACTAGTGGAGATCGTAGCAGTTCACAGGTTCATGAGGAGATGAACACGTCCAAAACAACAACCAAGGCACCCCCCTTGGAAGCGACAAAGAAAGTCGTTTTGGGGAATGACACATGTTGATATCACGGAAACGGTTATTCTATACGCGTTGCCCGCCTCGGCCAGTACACGTGGCTTCGAGGGCTAGAACGATTGGGGCAATTTGACCGATTTCTAGAAAGTTTGACCGGTTTCTCGGAGAATTTCACCAATTTCCGGTTTCTAGGTGGATCTGACCGGTTTCTAGGGGAGGATTTTGGCCGGGTTCTAGGGAGATTTGACGGCTTCTAGCAGGGGAATTTGGCCGGTTTCTAGGGTAGATTTGACCGGTTTCTACGGTAGATCTAGACAAAATGACATTTTACAAATACATAGAAAACTTAGGAAATCCCAGAACACATTTTTCTAATTCTGCTAATTATCCCCCTGGCTCGCCAGCCCCAGCCAGGCCGGTTCCTCGCAGACCTCGACTTGCGCAAGGCACAAGACCAACTACGCCTGGAGAGGGTTTGCGCAGGCGGATTCGAGAGTCGTCCGGGCGGAGCCGGGCTTGCTCTGATCCCCTCATGATTTGCTCGGGGAGGGGTGATGAAAAATCCTTGCAGGCCCTTTATTAGAGACAGTTGACCAAGGACGCGGCGAAGACATCTCACACCTGGGGGTGCGTTCGCAAGTTGCGGGCCCTTTGTAATCTCCCAGGTTTTCCCCGCGGCCGTCTTTGATTTCCAGAAATTGGGATCCTGTTGTACGAAGGCTGCCCAAATTGAAAGAGACAGGGGGTAGCTTCCAGGTTTTGCTCTACATTCACACAAGATCGATGTCATCGAAGCTCAGAAGGTGGCCGTTTTGTTGCCAATAGGCGTGGCAACAACCGCTGCGCTGCAAAAGCGAGTCTCAAATTAGAGGAGCCCCAAAATGGTTGGTGTCCCTTGAAAAGAAACAGCAACAGGGGGGTCCCTAAACAAGACACACCCTCAAGGGGTCTCCGACGAATCTATTTTGGGGCGCCCAATTCCGTCGATTCGACTTGCTTTGGGACCGTTTGAAGTACTGACATGGTCTTCGGCGCTCGGACCCCCGATCATGTCAAGTTTCCCAGGTTTGCTCCAAGCCGTGCAAGAACAAACAGGGTTTCACACCTTGGTATATCCTCTTGTTCGGAATGAAACCCAGGGTTGCTCCTTTTGGAACCGGAAGACATACCAAACGCCGCGCGCATTGGGTGCACCGGGGGACCTTTGTCCTTCTGCTTCCTGCGCAAGTTTCTACCATCGGGTCTTTGGAGCAGCTGTGGGTTCTGATAATTGCTTTGGCGCGCCAGCAAACTAATGTACTCAAAGGAGGCCAAAAGAGGGTGGGCCATCTGTGTTCCCTTATTTGGCACCCACTTGGTTGTCCTTTCCAGGGTTACCTTTTCGAAGTTTCTGTGCCGGGGAATTTGGAGCGTTGCGCGCTGTGTGTCGACAAATTTGCGGGCCCTGAAAGTTCTTGTTGTCAGGTTCCTTCTTTCCGCTTTTGGTTTTTTTTGAGACAGATACTGCCCGGGCAGTTGGCGCCTTTTTGCTTGTTTGTGGGGTGAGGGGGGGGGGAGTGTTACCTACCATTGTTCCTTTGGCAAGTGTCCTTCGAAAGCCTTCTTGCTCTTCTCAGCCGTTGAGGGGCTTTCGGGGGGCTTTCGGGGGGTGGGTAAGGGTGCTGACAACAAAGCACCCGGGACCCCAACGACGCCTCCGAATGAGGAGCAGCTTACGAACAAGCCTTGCTTTATTGGGATTCGTCACTGAGAACCATGTCGATGCGTTACTCAGGCAAGCCCCGTCACTGGGCGATTCCGGGCCCGGGGTTGGGAGAAGGAATTGCCGCTTGCGAGGTGTTGGGGAGATGCTGGCAGATTTCCATGCCCGCTACGCTGACCCGAAGACAGGGGAGGAGAGACAGAGTGACGGAGTGAAGTGTGAGGTGTTGAGTTACCCATGTGAGAAGCGAATCACAATTATATACTCTCTTGTGACTCTTGTCCATCATCTTGGAACTACAGCAAGTGTTTCTTCTTTTTTTCTTCGAACTGTTTGATGCTAACATAGAACTTCCTGAAAAAACCCAGGGCAAAGGCTGTTGGAGGGGTTGCTCGGAGGTTTGCCAACGCCCGCTTTTTGTTGTCTTTGGCGGTTTTGCCGGCGCGCCATGTTGGTGTCGTGTTTGGTTGGAGGGAGAAGGATCATTTTGCGTTTCGTGTTGGGGGAGCAAATCATTTGGACGTGTCGCACGTATCACAAAACTGGGGTATCTCTGCAAAGCTTCACTGTTCTTGGCATATGTGTCTGGGGCGTGGGAGGGATGGTGCATCTCTGCACCAAAATCACTCCGTTACAGGAAGCCCTGATTGATATCACCCGAAACAAGTCGAGAGCATGTGCATTTTTTTTTTTTGGGGATTGTGTGATTTTTGAGGACATCCTTTTGGGGCTTGCCCTACAGCGAAGCCAAAGGAAAGCCAGAGCCATTTTTGGGACACACACACACACACACACACCCATCCCATCCCAACATGGAAGAGGGTGTCATGGAGCCCTTCCCCAGTGGTCCCCTCTTTTCCTTGGTTCAACCTTTCTTTTGCTCCACTTGCAAAAAGACACAATGCACATGGACTGATCCGACAAGCCACATCCCTTACGTGATTTCCGAAGTCCCCGAGGCAACTGTCAGAAGGGATCCGAGGCTACCAGTCCGATCCATGCACCACCCTCCGCCCATGCCTCAGCTTCCCCCCACGTCAGCAAGTGACACCAACACCGAAGGCCTTTCCCCCCATATGGCGACCTTCGCCCCCTCCCCCCCAACACCTGGAAAGGCAAGAGGGCCCTATCCTTTCTAACTCTTCTGGCCCCTCTATGATTTTGTTCCGGAAGCTTTTGTCCCTCGCCAAAATGGGTAGCCGGTTATACTAGTTTCCTCTTGATTTCCCTTCCCTCAAAAGGGCAGCCTCAAGAAATTCACACCCATTTGTTGGGCAGGCGACTTATCACACGGACTTCCACCCCAGCAACGTCCTCTACGAGCAGCCCTGGGCTGAGATGAATCGATCGATTTGGATCTCGAACTTTTGGGTAAAACCATACTGTATTGGGGTATATAAAATTGAGTATTCCGGTCAGTCTTTTTCCAGTGTCCCCTTTCTTGGGTTGCTTTACAGGGAAACCGAGGGGAAAGTCGCATTTTCTCTGGGTCCCGAGTTTTCCAGATACACCAATATGGAACCGAGCCAGAACATATTTGCCTGAATTTTGAGATGAGCGAGTTCGGGCTTCAAGCGCCGCGTCTGGCAAGGGCTTGTGGGGCCCGCTTGCAAGGCTCTGAGCTCCCCCAAAATATTGCTGAACATCGCCCTGCTTATGCTGATGATTTCGCTGGACATCCCTTTTGTGTGGGCAACTCCGACATAGGAAAAGAAAAGTCCGCCAGTTGCACTCTTCACTTCCTCGAGCAGAAATCGAAGCCTTTTGGTCGCCAGCACGGGCGCTCCACACTCAGCTTCGGGATTGTCAACTGGACCCTTTTTTGCAAACAAGCAGAATGCTGGTTCCAATCACCAGCCAGCTATAAAGCAAAGGAACTTCCCTTATCTCCCGCTGTTCGTCCATTGTTTGCCCTTTGGGGAAAGTTAGCAGTGTGGTGGACCTAGTGGACCTTACCTTTTTCTTTCTCGGCGTAGAGAACGGTCCTTCAGAGGGGGAGCTTCCTCATTTCGTCAACCTCCCATGGCCCCTTTTGGACGCTGGTGCCGCCTTTGGAGGGAGATGTATGTCTATGTATGTACACAGTTGTCAATGCCTCCCCAAATGTGACCTCCCCCCCAATCCCAAACGCGCCCCCGTTGCTCCTTATTTCGGACCTCAGGCCGTTCACGGGTTTACGAGACCCTTTTTCGGGGGCCCTCGACTTTTTTTTGACAGACTCAGCTTTCCTTTTTTTTTCTCCTTCGTTTCTCCCTTCCAACCGCAAAAGGTTCACGTTTTGGGGTAAGTCCGGCCCATGCAAACCGTTGCCGGGGCCCCGGTCGGGCCGCCCCCGAACTTTCTTTTCCGCAGGCAGACGGATACCTTGAGCTCGCGCCTCAGGTGTGCGCCAGAGGTCAGAGTCCATGGTTGGGCAATTTTGATGTGGTTGTGGATCAAACATAGGGTAATCCCAAAATGGGTTGCCCTGGTAAATAGCGAAGAGGACTGAAACCTGCGGTCCGCCGGTGGTTTAATTTTGACCCATGCTCGGGGAAATGTTGATATGCGCTTGCAGGGTGTATGAGGAACTTGCGGCCCTCACTCGGCTGATGTCGCATTTCGTGCGGGGCAATCTCATTGCAAACGATTCCACGGACGGCCTCTCGATCTGTTTAGATCTGCTGTAGGCAGGTAAGCGCTCGCACGTGCTTGCGTGCTCCCTGATTTGTCTCTCGAATTGTCAAGAGGTTCAGGAGTTCAGGCCCATCCCGGGAACGCTGCAGATTCAGGAGCTTTTCGTGTCGTGCGTTGGCGCTTGATGCTGCTTCGCGCCAGGTGTTAGAGTAAAGGCAGACTTGAGCCATTTGAATCATTACTTTCATCCATGAATATCCACCCCTAGAACCGAAAGTCCACGGGTTTCGGCGCTGCGCAGTCTTTGTTTTTTGGCACACAGTCTCTCCAATCACGAGCCGATTCGTCCGTGCAACCCTTCCAACGAATTGAATTGGGGTCGGGGCCCATTGTATGGAGGGGTACTGCTCTAAAGCCGAGGGCAGTGGTCAGTTTTTCGACAACTCAGAAGGACCCCAAAGCCCCCCATGTTTAGAGGCTACAGAAAAGTGCTTGCAAATCACTCCCCTGGGCAATTCCAGAGTAGCTTCTTCTGAGCCCCTTTTCACAACGCTTCTTCTGGATGTGGAGGGGAGAAGCAGGCAAAGGGGAAACACTCTCAGCTGGAATGGTGCCGGCCAAGCTCCAAATTGACCCCATGGTGATGCGTCCAAACTAGGGGCAGCTGCAAGCGGTTGATTTTGTTTTACTCAATTCGCGCAACTTGTTGACGCATCCTGCCATTTTCCACTTGATGTGTTGTGTTATACAAGCCCAGCGTGATCCTTGTTTCCGAAATCATTCGAATTTCCATTGCCGACTTACCTTCCCTTTTTTTGCCGGTTGGTTTTCGTTCATGTTCTAGCAAGCCGTCGACCTTCTCAAGGTAGCGGATTGATCTTGTTCAAGCTTGGCCGATCTACAACCATCGGCTCCTTGAATGTTGCATGTATATAGATGTTGTTTTAACAGTAACACTTGAGGAACCATCTTAAGTGTGTTGCCCATTTGTTCCATATGTAAATATGTATATATATATATATGTATCTTGACTGTAAACCCAGTGGCTCCTTGGGTTTTCGCTTTGCACTGGGCGGACCCGTGAGAATTCTCGGTGGCCTCCGGACGGCTGCGTCTCGGCGTCCGGACGCCTCGACGTGTCGCCGAGGTATTGTGGATCTCACTGGCATGGGCACGCCGGGAGTTACGGACGACTTGGACAAGTTCCAGAGGCACAGAGTTGCAACCCGACGCTTGCCATGAGCAACCCAAAAACCAGCATGATACGTCCCCAAGAACAGACAACCCTTGGAATTGCCCCAACAACAGGCAGGGTTCTAACTCTTGCCATGAGTAATCCACTTGCCATGATAAGTCCCCCAAAAGCAGCTAGGGTTACTAGCCATTTGAGTCCCGTGTGGTATTGATTGGATGTTCAACCCACGTCAGGTATGCATCCAAGCAGCCTCATTGAAGCAGTGCCCTGGACTTTATACTTCCCCATTTTTGTGGCACTGAGGAAGAGAGCCTGAATTACCAGGTTTAACCAGCTTGATTCCCCACTCATTCACAGCATGAACCACCTGAATTCCCAGATTTTCTGAACCGCCTTGACACATCTTCACACACTTTATTCCCTTGACCTTGACGAGTTTGACCCTGTTTGCTAGCCGAGGTTGCTTGGCAGAGTTGTCATGGGTCACTTTGGTATCATGGGAATGGGATTTTCCACATGTTCTTGACCCTTCAACCCATAAATCTTCTTTTAGCAGATTTACCCACTTTAACTCCTGAACTCCTGACTCACCTCTGACAACTCTGCAATTTGTGTCCTGCTACGCGCCCTTAACTCGATGTAGCCCTCAACCCCCCACCCCCATTCGACACCTTCAGCCCCTTCAAAAACCTTCAACCAGGCCACCTGAGCTCGCTAAGCTCCTGAGCCAGATTCACCCCCTCAACCCTGTAACCTCCTCAACCTCACGCCAAGTTAGCCCCGACAGTGGCGGCATAGGCATTACGTGGGCTTTGCGTAGACTTTGTACAGCAAGCTAAGCAGAACATAGCTTCGATGAACCGTTAAACCACTGAGTTGGCAAACAAGTTGCCAACTGAGTTGCCAAATAATGTCGACCCCAGATTCATCAAACCGTGTTTTTTTTTGGTTGTTGTCTTTTTTGGGTGGGTGATTCAACCATGGCTTTGCCTCCTTCGGCCGGTTAGCCAGCAGGCTGCTGGCTCGCCTGGCCGGCGAGCGATATGCCACGGCCTTCCGCCTGAGGCGTGCTGGGGATGAGCCAACCTGTTGGCAGCGGGTTCTACCTTCGGTTTCATATTATGGGGGCTGCGGGGGAGGGAGCCCAATAAGCCCCAAATAAGCCCCAAATAAGCCCTAAATAAGGCCTTAATAAGGGCTTAATAAGGTGTTTTTTTTTGGCTCCCTCCCCCTCCCCTCCCTCCCAGCCCCCATGATCATAGGGAAGGCAAAGGTAAGGCCTAAACCGTAACAATTGTGAGACAAGTCGGCTTGGGTTGTAGGCGCTGCCCTCCAAAGGGTCAGGTGAGAACTTTAGGGTCTGAGGAGTTGCTGTTCAGTTGCATCCTCTAAGTCCCCTTTGGCTTGGCGGTCTCTCACTCACAATAGTCAACCCCAAAAAGGGCTCTCTTTTTTCCCCAAACTCACTGCACAACTAGGTTCAGGTAACAGAGTTCTGCCTCCTTTTTTAGTACCCTTCCAGGTCCACAAGAAGCCATTCGATCCGCGTCCCCTTTTTCTGCCACGGTCACTGGTTTGCAACTCTATATTTCCCAAACTTAGGAAACCTGTAGAAAGAGTGCTGAACGGCTTTTCCTGGCTTTGGTCCAGTTGTCTTTTTTGTCGTCCGGCTCATGTTTGGAGGCTGCAAGCATTAGTTGTTGGCGGGAAGATTTCGGGGCAAGGCAAGTTCGCACACCACGGGGTCGCCCAGATGGGCTCGACCAGTTGTATGATGGAAGCTGCCTGGTTTGCAAAGAGCTACCATTGTTCAGGGTTTCATGTTTTGATTACCCTAAGGTGGACTCACTAAAAACACGCCGGGTAAGCACCGTGTGTTGGGAGTTAGAGGGGCCAAGCATGTTGAGTGAGTTGGTAGAACATGGCATGCAGCGATGCAGAGAGGGCAGTTTGAAGCGGCCTGAGACTTCAAGGTGCAAAATTACACATGCTTTTTCATGGGGGATTCCCCAACATGAGTGGTTTCCTTTTGGCTCCCCTTTAGACCAACCCAACACAGGCTACCTCAAACAAATTCACACCCACACAGACTCTGCAGCAGCGCTTCATATCAGCGCCATTCAGAGCCTGTTGTGTCGTGTGAGGCATTGCCTGACTTGTCCAACGCCAAACTTTGAACTGTTGCTTGTTGTCCTCGTTTAGTGATGGCTGGAACATAAAAGCTTAAACTTTTCCAACCCCGGGATTGTAGCCAGTAGGTTGATGTTCGCCGGGAACTTGAGGAAGTGAAGTTGAGGACCAGGGGGGTTTCACCTATTTGTTTCCCTTTCTTTCAAGCAGATGCACATTGCATGATTACACAGTCATGAACAATACCTAAGCTCATTAGACATGAAGCTTGTTTTGTTTCTAGTCTCCTTCAAATAAAACATGGAACCAAACACATGTCATGTTCATGACTTTGTGGCTCGTTTGTTGGATTCTGTCCGTGGGGAGAGACTCTCTGCGGGATGGCCTGATGGAAGCGAACCTCGTGCGTATACATTTGCAAGTTTCTATGAATTCCTCAAGCTTTTGGGTACAGGGACACCGAAAGACACTCAGATGATCATTTTTGTTGTTTTCATAATTTTCAGACCCACGCCGCACCCCAAATTGATCGCGATTTCAGCAATCCTTTCTAGCGAGATACATCGCGCTGGCGCCTGCCTGGGTCAGCGAGCGCAGCAGCACCAAGTCCACTGCGGCGCCTTGGCATCGATCAGAGCCCCAGCGTTCCGGTCTCTTTTCTAATATCTCTGTTGCCCAGTGGTGCCCTTTTACTTTTTTTTGCGTAAGCGTTCCCTTTCAAACTCAACCAACAGAAAATGGGTGCCCTTTTTTGCCATGGCCAGTCTCGTAAGCCTCAGCATGCCGGAATAAAAGCTTATTATGAATTTGGCAAATGACTGGACAATCACTGCCAGATTTAACGGAATTCCACGACAAGTACAACCCCTGGTTGGAGAAAGGGGGTAGGGACTGGCCAGACTCAAGTAACGGATTCGCCGGGGAAGCCCTTTACTTGGGGGAAAAGCTCAAAGATGCTGTCCAGAAACTGCCTGTTTCATGAGTTTTGGTAGGCAGTGGGGGTGCAAAGGCCGTCACAAAGGTTCTGTTTGACCGCCTTAGTTCCTCCTGGGGGAAGATGACGGTTTAGTTTTTGGTGGACCTTACGATTTTTGGCCTTTGACTTCCAGGAAACCTGTTTGCCCTTGTCTTGATCTGCTTCGACATGCATGTGCAGCTTGCTTATGAATACTGGTTGCTTTTCATCTCAAAGATCCCGTCAAGTCCGAAGTGCAGCATTACTGTTGTCGTTCTTCGAGCTGCGATTCTTACTTCAGTCAGAACAGCAATCTGGCCGATACGAATGTTTGGAGTGCTTGCAGATGATATGTTCTGCATATGCGCGAAGCTGGCGCAGGAGGCGTTCAGTGAGCAGTTTAACATACCGCAGATAGAATGTGCATGATCGCTGATCATATGTCACCGCATTTACGAGGAGTATCCCTGAAATATCCCACATGTGCAATGCCTATAGCAACGGACAATATGGCCACAGCATCGGTTTTGGGTGGTCCCCTCTCGATTTTGCACGAACATATTCCAAGCCACAAGGCAAATCCCAGTACTTCATGGCTTTGCCAAAGGCAAGAGTTGACCCTGGAGTCATCTCGGCACACTAGTTTGCGACCCATTCGGAGGTAAAACGGTAAACCAAATGATGCGAATCAGGGCCCGCTACTTGAGGATGTGTTATTTTGTCGGTTCAGCCCTCCAACGCCCCCGGGCCCTTTGGAGAGACGAAACCAAAGTGACCTTCCCTTCAACCAAACTCAGAAGGAAGCTGAAGGAATGCTTTCGGACCAGGGATGGTCCACACCCTTTGCTCCTTGGCTTTCACCCTCGGAGCTCAGATTTGGAGGTCGAGCCGATGTCGATCTCAGAGGACTTCCTCACACCTCAACCCTACAACCACCGAAAATTACGTTTATGGCCTCCTTGATTGGGGAGTCTAGAATCTAAACCAACATTCAAGGGCATGTTCAGGAGGCTTGGGAGGTGTGGTGGTTATATGCCACTTCCACAGGCGGAGGCCAGTATAGAATACCACTCAAATCTACCACCTCCGCACCCGAAGAAGCCACCGGAAGACGCCTTTGGGTCATGTCATTTGTCACGGTCTGTCACCCACCTCTGGCCAACATGCACGCTGCAGGCGAGCAGTGACAAGTTGCTGTATCCGCGCGGGCCCCAGAATTTCGTTTTGGGAAGCTAAGTGAGACTTTTCTGGGGACGGTATTTCTCACTGTCTTTGGTGGTTATCAGCGTCAAAGACTGGTTGCCCTTTAATCTGTCACTTAGTTAGGGAGTGACTTTGACAGTGGCAAAATCATGGGGCCACGTTTAGAGTTGTAGAGTTTGGTGGGATGTATGATCTATCCGAATCTATCCCACTAATTGTTTAACTTTTAGCACTGCATCAACCAACCTTTGGGACTGCTGTCAAGGCCTCAGGTCCTTAGCCCTTCAGACCCATGCTGGATCCCTTCAGATGGACTGCTAGTTTCGCACAGGTGTTTGGGGGTTTCCCTTATTTTCTCTTTCAACCAGGAAAGACTTGGTGCAGAGGGGCGGATGCGTCTGGTATTTGAGGATGTGTTCCCTCTGAAACTGTTCAATTGAGATCCAGGGTGGTCTGTTTGCTGATTTGGTGACAATCAAAGGAACCGGAACCGTTCCAATTTCCCTGTTTTATGCTTTAGGCATTGGGCCCCAAGGACTTTTGTTTCAAGGGTTTTGGGTAGACGCTTTGTACCAGGTTTTGATTGTGACTGCGTTGTCGCCCGGATGGCTGCTCGTTCGGCTTGCGTCGAGGCCCACGGCAGAGACGTTCACCACGCTGCCTCGGGCCACTTCCTTTAGAAGCCTCTCCTCACTGGCGCGGGGGGGGGGGGGGGGCTGGGGTCGGTCTAAGAAGCGCGGATGTTGAGGTTCAGAAGCCATTTTTTTTCGTAGGGTACTTGCTAAATTGCTGTATCTGAACCCGCAAGCTGGCTTTTGACATTGGGCAACATCCCATGAGTCCAGGAAGATTATTCCGTTGGCTTCCGTGCAGCTTGGACATTGTGTTTGTTTGAGAAGGAGAGCTTGCGAGGAGCCAACAACTTGGATTGTCTCAAACTAAGGGAGACCCGGAGACCCCCCCAAAAATGGGTGGCTTCTGTTGCTTTCCTTTTTTTCTTCTTTTTTTTCTCGAAGCACCAAGCAAAAGAGGCTTCCCCCAAAAAAGGAAGCACTTGGAGGAAGTCTCTGGAGACGGATCGTCCCTGTTGAACACGAGCCATCATCCAGGGGACTTTCTCCAGCGGGAGAAACAATCCGCTCCTGTGCCAGCGCTGAGTCCTGGAAGAGCGTCCTGTCCTTCAGCAATTGTGACAGTCGTGGGCACATCATTGCTCCAGTGCAGAAGTCTCCGCAGGCACCGCTCCAAACACTGCCGGGGGCCGTAAACTTGAGAAGTGTCTTGTGGGATGAATCCGAGCCACGTGTTGATGTTCAAGACTCTCAAGACCTTTCCTTGGTGCTCACTATAAACCATCCGTCTTTTTTTTCTGGGGACGGGTTCAGAGTTCATTCCCTTATTCCGAATCTGAGCACCGATTGCAAATTTCACATCGGACGGCGCCTTCACTTGGCTGGCCCCAAGGCATACAAGGCTTATCAACCCCTCGGTCGAGCGTTGACTGTGGCCAAAGGACAACAGCAACACAACATGAAAGCTCGGCAGCGTAAAGACTATGCTTCTGGGTAAACCAGAATGAGCAACTCCGCAACAATATGCCTTCCGGACTGAACTCGTGTTACTGTGTTCCTCAGTCAAACAACGCAAAGCAGTTCACGAAGTAGAAACAAGGACCTCAAGCAAAGCATCTCCATTCTATTTTCCGGTCGGTTGTGTGGAGGTATGGAGGTCACAAAAGTCACCATAAGGTAAACAAGGTCTTGACTCGTGTGGGTAGATTGAATATGAAACAACACTCTGAACATGTTATGTTTTTTGTACAGATGTGGGCCTCTTGCCCTCTTCCGCAGCTTTCGGCCAGGCAGTTCCAGAGCCGCTTGGCAAGGGCATGGCATGTGGGGCCGGTGCTTTGGCTGACGGGACGGATCGCACTTCGGGTGGCGAGATATGGAGGATCATTTTGCTCACTCAGATGGCAAACAAGCAACATGGAGCTTTCCAATCAGCCAGTTATACAGTTATACAAAGTTTTTTTGTATATATATATATATATTTGTATATATATGGTACCCCCCCCCCCCCAAAAAAAAAAAACACGCCCCAAGAGAATTTGACAGTATTTGCAGTACTTTTGTGTGATTTCCAACCCCTTTTCAGGCCCTTCAATATTTACTCTTTTCAGGCACTCCAACTTTGATTCCCCAAAATGCTTTAAAGCGCTTTAAAGCACTTTGGGATTAAAGATTCAAGATTTCCAGGACTCTAGATCTGGAATCTTGAATCCAGTTCCCCCCCAAAATAAATGCTTTAAAGCCTAAAGCGCTTTAAAGCACTTTTGGATTCAAGATTCAAGATTCCCAGGTCTCTAGATCTGGATTCAAGATTCCCAGGACTCTAGATCTGGAATCTTGAATCCAGTCTCGGCCCCCCAAAACGCTTTAAAGCGCTTTAAAGCGTGTTCATCCAGGTGGCTCGTGGATTCAAGATTCAGATCTAGAGTCCTGAGAATCTTGAATCTTGAATCTTGAATCCAAAAGTGCTTTAAAGCGCTTTAAAGCGGTTTGGGGGGCCCAGGCTGGATTAAGGATTCCAGATCTAGAGTCCTGGGAATCTTGAATATTGAATCCAAAAGTACTTTAAAGTGCTTTGAAGCATCTGCTTTCAGCCATTCCTGTTTGTGTTTGTGCACCTTATTGTCCTTTTGAACTTGTGCGCGACAAATACAGTTGATAGTTCATCATATGGACATTGGAGAATTAATTCTTCAATAAATGACTTCAACAAATCCACACCAACCCTTGGATATTGAAACAAGCACCGTAAATACCAGTGTTTTGCATGCGTCCTAGCAGGTTTTGTGCAGAACAGATTTCATTCAGGGAAATTAGTTGTTTTGGAAGAGTGTGGCACTGGTCAATGCATATTAGATGCGAGCAGATGTTTTGGTATTGGCCAAGGTTTGCAAGCTGACAAGAAAAGGGGATTTGCAGATGAGTTGAGATGAGGGATGGCAGATGCGTAGCAGATGATGGATGGATAGATAGATAGATAGATAGATAGATAGATAGATAGATAGATAGATAGATAGCTAGCTAGCTAGCTAGATGGATAGATATATATATATATATATACATATACATGTGATAAATAGATAGATAGATGGAGAGAGATAGATTGGTAGGTAGATAGATAGGTAGGAATATAGATAGGTAGAAATAAAGATAGATAGGTAGAGCAAGAAAGATAGATAGGTAGATAGATAGCTAGCTAGTTAGATAGATTAGATAGATAGATAGGTAGGTAGATAGATATATAGAAAAACAAGCTAGATAGATCGATAGACAGATAGATAGATAGATAGATATATAGGTAGGTAGGTAGATAGATAGATAGAGACATTGATATGCAAGTGACAAGCAAGAACAATGAACGAGAGACACGAGAGAAATGAAGACCTAAAGAAACACAGACAGCAAGAAATAAATAGCGAAATAAAGGAATAAATGCAGAAACACATGAAACTAATAAAGGAATGTAGCAAAGCAAGACGAAGAGAAAACGAGTCAAGAAAAGAAAGAGAAAGATAACTCTGGTTCTTATATTCTTGAAACTTCCGCCCACCGGCTTCGCCGGCTCTACTAGTATGGGTGGCTAAGTCTTAATGAATCATTTGCCCACTCCTGGTAGCATCCATCTAAAACGACCCGACTTCCCTTACATGCGTGTTTTTTTTTTTTTGGGGGGGGGTGCATATATATATATATATGTGTATGTATACCAGAAGCATTGGGACAGGAGAGCGGTCCAAAACCTTTCAATGGAGGTCCTGGCGGGCAGCAAACCCCATTGAGAAGGCTAGAACTTCATTTGCCAAATGGAGGCAGAGCAGGTACTTGAAGCTCACATTCTTTTCCCGTTTGCCACTGTTTACAACCCTCTTTCCGGCCAAGCCCCAGCTAATTCTTGCCCCGGTTTTGCCGCGCTTACTCATGTTTCTTCCCCATCGCACAGGCATTTTCTTCCAGCGGGGAGCTTCTCTTGTGACCAAATGGAACAAGCCGCCCTCGGCTTTAGCATGCAAACATAGAATAAGACCTCAGCGGTTGGAGCCCAGTGGGTTTGTATCCTGATGCTTGCAAGGGCCTCTGATCTGTGTGTAGGTTTGCTTGTTTCCTCTTAGATTAAACTAAATCCCAAAGGGATCGGCCAAAGGAACTCGCTCGCGGGCATGGTGTGTGCAACATGTACAGATGTCAGAGTTGCCTCCCCTTTTCGACTTGTTTGTGTTGTTTCTGTTCCATGACTTTTCCGTTCGACCAGCGATAGGTGCTTGAGGGTTCCGTCTTTCCTGGTCTCGGGCCCGCAGTTCGACATTTCGTCCGGCTGTCGTGATGCGGGAAGCAGAAAGTTGACTTGTTGCAGGGCCCTTCAGCGTCCATGAGCGTCTCAAGGGGTGAGCAAAAGACAAGAACATGCTCAATTCTTTGGGGATCACTAGGGGTTGCTTCACGCTTGGCCCAGGACAGGCTTCGACCCGCATCAGAACATCACAACCCTCGTCCGGGCCAGAGGCGGTTGAGTCACTGGAGCACTGCGCCCTGGTTTGGGGTCCAAGACCCCGTCGATCTGGTGCAGGTTCAGCAACGCACCTTGACTGTTCCAACCATTAAGAATCCTGGCCACGTCAAGGGACTGGAATGATTTTCATACCAGTGCCTGGAACCATGAACAGTGCAGAGCCCCAGTGCCCAAGGGGAGGTTGTGGACCGTAGCGGTCCTTAATTTAAAAGCCCAAGGCAAGTTTCCTTTTTGCCAAGTGAGAGAAGCTTGTTTTTTTGCCACAGTACCCCAAAATCTGCTGTGCCCTTTGCGCTTTCTTTCTCAGAGGGGTTTTCCCAAAGCATCGGCCAACAAAGAAGATGGGTTTACTGGAAACCCACTGGAAGTTTGGGATACTGCTGTTCAAAGGCAGACCCCAATCTCTGTGGTCGACGGAAGGAGTTGGTCCTTGTGGTGTCCCACTTGCGGAAGTCGGCCAACCAAACCATGTTGAATGCCGAGAGGCCGAGAGTCCTGGGGTTCCGACTCAAATTCCCCTTGCCACGCTGGACCCGATTTTCTTGCAACACCCCAGGCCCGTTGGGAGCCTTTGGGGCCTCCACGAATCAGGTTTAGGGGTCGTTCTCAATGGCCCTTGGCCGTCTCGCAGCCAAAAAGCTTGGCTTTCCATATTAACAAGGACACACCCAAATGGATGTGTCTCAGAGGGGGGCTCCCAAAATGTCAGATTTGCCCGCTTTAGGTTTCCCTAGACCCATCCGAAAAGGCTGCCACCCCTAACCACCCCAAAGGTGGCCAGATTTATTTCATATCATGAAGAGTCTGAACAAATATTTTGTGGAGTCACCCGGCGCCTCCTTTTTTGGAGTACCCCAGAGGTTGGTCCATATCCCAAAGACAGCTTAGGCAGCGTTCAACTCCTTTTGACCACCTTTAGGTGTACTTAAACCCAGGGGTGGTTGATTTCCCCAAACGGAGCATCCGCAGCATTTAATTGTCTCCCTTGTCAAAAAGTTGAAGCTCTGATTTCAGGTGCTTGTTATGGTCGCAGTATTTTTCCATTCAAATATTTGGCCCCTTTCCTCCAGGATTGGTCAGATGTCCCTAAATGTACCTTTTTGGGCCTCCAAAGAGTGGCAATTTGGTTGGACCCCTGGTCCCTCCGAGGCGTGGCTGGTCTCCCCGAAGGTGAAGCTCGTGCATCCCCGGCTGCAGCCGGCACGCACCAAGGCGCGGGCGAGCCGAGAGAGCTTTCCCTGGGAAACCTTTGCGGGTTGCTTGGGGGGGGGTCCCTTGGGGGGGGGGGGGGGGCGGTTTTCTTCGGGGGTCCCTTGGGGAGGTTTGCTTGGGGTCCCTGGAGGTTTTTTTTGGGGGTTGCTTGGGTTTCCTTTTGGGGTCTCGGTTGCTTTTCCACGTTAGTTCTTGAGGCGGAGCCTTCGGCTTCAAGAACCATCCCGGGACGAGCCCTTTTTGGTCACAGGTTCTTGAGACAGGTTGGGACTTCCGACCTTGCGTCCGCAAAAAAGAGAGGATACTTAAGGGACCTGAACAGAGGTTGATTGGTTGGGTTGCGATCCCTCTTCTTGTGAGAACCCTGCTTTCCTTGCCTTGGGACCGGCGCCCGCACAAGATATCAGTTGGGCACTACTCTGGCCATTTTGGGCCCTAATGGAGCTCCTGACCCCTTTCATGCAGGGTCCAAGGATGCTTAGGGGAGAGCAGAAAGGCTTGAAAGGGGGGCACAACCCCGGCCCCCATGGGTTCGAACAAAACCCTGTTAGTTGGGTCACTACGCACTTGTTTTTTCTTGCTTTGGCCACCAAGAACAACTTGGGAGGCTTGGATGCTCTACCAGAGCGGGCAGAAGGAGTGCTTCTACTTGCAATATGCCCGGACCTTGGAACTGCTCCCACAAAGAGCCCCACTTGCCCAAAGGAAATGCCTTGGTTACGGGGTTGTAAACCTGACATGTAGTATCATTTAGTCCCAATTCGGCAACCCGCGCGCCGGCGTCCAATGCAACCTTTCTGCAAAAAAGCCGCCCTTTGCATCCAAAAAACGACCTCCAGCTTCAAGTCTGAGTCACAAGTAGACACACCGCTTTCTACTTGGAAGTCACAGAGGCTCCTCGTATTGCCCAATTGGAAGTCTGTCCAAAAAGCCAACCACACCCAAGACCCCCCCCAACCATGAAATTGCTTTGTTCGGCAAGTGATTTGGCTTTAGTTGGCCTTGTTAACACTGGCCAGGGAGCTTGGGGTTCTTTGGGGGGGGCGGTGGCAGAGTCCATGAGGGAAGACCAACTGCGAGTTTGAGTTCGCAAGTGGCGTGTCCTTGTTCGACGTTTGAAAAGGGAAACAAACGCGACGCCACCCTTTCCGGGGTGCCCTCATTCATAGACAAACCCGAAGTCAGCGATTTGAAGTCTTCCATCTCGACAGAATCACCGAGAAGAAACACCTATAACCCTGCAAGACTTTCCCAAGGGGTGAACAGTTCGGCCAAGTTTGACCAAACAAGCCCCGCTTGCCATCTTTTAGGGTGCCCTTGTTGGGCAACTGATTTCCACCGACAGAGGCGGGACATCGGGCTGCACATTTGCTAAATTGAGAGGTGTTGCCTTAAGCCCAATAGTGCAGGCCACTTTTGGTGGCCCATTTGGCAGACCGGGTCGGCCTTCGGGGCTTGGACTCTGAGGCTCCGGCCAAGAGCGAGGCTCCTGCCGCTGCCCCGAGAAAGGGGAGTTTTGGGGTTGCTCGTTTTGGTCTGCGAGCACACTGGGGGTGGGGTGGGTGGGTGGGGTAGGTTCAAAGATCCGCCCCGGAGACCCTTGTCAAGGGCTAAACGGGAGGGTCACGAAAGGTTGTTGGAAATTGGCAAACTTCCGATCTCGGTGAATGCATACAATCATCCTCTGCAGTAAACGGGAAGACGTTGGGTACACACCGAATCACGACTGGTGAATGTGAAGCTGAGCTACTAAAATCTTGTGACTTGGGGCCACATTGAGAATTGCATGCAACCCAATGAGAAGAAAGTGACCTAGACCTCGAGCGGTGCTCGATTTTCCTTTGTTTGAAGGGGGGTATTACTTGGAAAACTGTGGCCTTTTGTAATCGTGGGCGCTGGGTCCATTCCCCCTGCCGGTCAATATCTGCTTGAAAGGTAAGTCTTCTGGTTGCTCGGGCCAACAACCTTCTCAGGGGTTCGGCTCAGCCAAGAACCTTGAGTGGCCTGAGGCAGGCCTTTGCCATTGTCACAACTGGTGTGTGTGTGTGTCTTTTTTTGAGGTAAGGTTGCTTTAAGGGGAAGCGAAAGATAAACCACCAATTCCGGGGAGTCCACCATTTAAACTTTGGAGGCAAGACCGCATGTTTTGAAAGGGTGGCTTGTATTATCGGGTGCTTTGGCGTTAGGTGTTTCGTTTATTTCGCCTCATGGTGTATCGATGTTCTTTTTTATTTGCAACCTGCAAGTGGACGATCGTATGGGTTAGGACATGCATGCCCCTGAAAACGCCCACTCCCACTTTGAGTGGAAGAAGATGGATGACATCCACCCTATGCGGTACTTGACTCAGTTTTACCCCCCCTCCCCCGAAGTTGGACCCAAGATGGGCTTTGAAGCACAGGTACGGAAGCCCTTGAGGCTTGCGGTGGCGCTGGGCTTTGCTGCAGCTTTTGGGTCTTCAAGTCAGGAACCCTACCCACCCCAAAGACCCCTCCCTTATCTGGGTGTACATTTTTGAGGGAGCTGGTTTTTGTGCTGTTGAGCTCAAAAACCACGCGGGGAACTCACCCATTTTGGGGTTTTGTCCTGTGAGACAGACCCGGAATTGCCACCGAGCTCCAGGGCCTGCCCTCGATCGCGGAGCGCTGCGAGGAGTTCGTGGGCAGGCGAGGAGTTCTCGGTCGGTTCCGCGCCGGTTTCGCGGTCCGGAAAAAACGGACATGACCTCATCCGGTGGACATAAACCCCCACCTAAAAGGTGTCCACCAACCGCTTTTCCGGGGGAAGTTCCCTATTGAAATTCATGGCCATATGGGTGTGGCTCAAAATGAAACGATCGGAGGGGCAAACCGCAGGTTTTGGCCGATGTTTCCACTTACAAGGGTAACCCATTTTGGAATTCCGGTTTTTTGAGCCACAGCCACATGACCTACGGAGCCCTTGTTGGGCACAGAAATTTGGTGGGGAGAAACCATTGGATTGCCATATAGGATGGCCATGGTCTAAGTCCTTTCGAAAGACGGCAGTCCAAGAGCAGCGGGGCCGTATGACTCGCGCCCTACGGGATTTGTGGCTGCACAAGGAGGCTTGGGATTTGACTTGTGCGCAGCTCAAGGATTTCTTTTGGGTCTCCATGTTCACCTGCAGGGGGCAAAAGCCAGGGAATTTGCGGTTTGACGACCCAGCTTTGTCTGCAAAGATGACAGCGCAACTGGTGGACGCTCGCCTCGCCAGCAGCCGCTTCGCCTCAAACTCATCTAAAAGTGGCAACCAAAAGGGGTCTCTTGAGCTGGCTGGGTGAATCCGCGGTACCATAGGAGGAATTTGCTCCCTGGGCTAAAATGATGAACACCGAAAATCTTTGAACCCTAGCTGGGTTGAACCAAACCCAAGCACTTTGTTTGGCGCAGAAGGCAAGAGTCATCAAGTTTAAAGGGAAACATAGGGATCCCTGTCAAAGATGGGTGCGGGTGGCTTAGCTGGCCTTGGCGCGGAGCAGCATCTTTGTGGGGCGGTCTCGATTCCACTCATCGAGCTCACCATGACAAAGCCCACCGGAGACAGCGTGAATCTCAAGGCGTGCTTGTGGAAAATGCAAATCCCTACTGGTGGATGGACAAAATCCTGCACCGCTTTGAAGCCATGCGGAAACCATGGTTTGTTGGTATTTACAAGAATCCTCATTCCGGGTTTCTTAGGTGGTGCAGGAATTCGTCCATCCACAGTACTGGTGACACGGATTTTGTCCATTCAGCTTTGGTTTCCCAGGTGCTGCTTGCCCATTCGCCGCTTTTGGCCGACTTACGTGGCGCCAAGGATTCAGCTCTCCGGGGGGGGGGTCGTTTTTTTGGGGGGTGGGGGGTTTTTTTTGTTTGTTTGTTTCTGCGTTTCTGTGTTACTTCTGTCTAGCTGGGCTGATCGCCAATCGCTACGGAGAGTTGAGGCAGACCAAAGCGATCGGCCAGAATGAGCAAGTGGAGCTTCTTTGTGGTACAGAGAGGCTGCAGGATGAGAAGAGCATTGTGGATCCATTGCCAGCCTTAGCTCGCCAGGGTGGTGGGAAGTTGTTGGTTCCTACTTCTGTGATACAGAGGAACTTGCCCTTATCGAGAAACCTTGCTGAAGGCCTTGGATCGACAGTGGGCCATTCTCGCAACTCTGTCGCTTACCTTTTTGCAGTTTACATTGTGAATGTTGGCGGTACCACAGGAAATCATTCCTAGAGGACGGTGGCTCAGTCGACGCATTCGGGTTGGCTATCAGACTACCTCTTGCCCTCTCCAGCCAAAGCTTTTGCGGGCGTCGGATTCGCCTGGCCCAGGATTACTGTGCCAAGCACATGCAGAACTACAAGCTCGACCCCATTACCATCCAAGTTCGCTGAGAGAGCCATATCGGCCAAACCAGCTGGTTTTTGAAAACCGCCGATTCTTAGTCATGGCCCTACAACATCAACCTCTGATTCGGCTTCTTTTGGCTCGTGAAATGGTTTTTGGCTTTTGATGCCGCGCGGGCTTCGCCCGCTTAGCCGAAAGGAAGCCCGAAGATGGGCTTCTATGGCTTCTTCCTAGTTAAAGGGAAGCCGAAAAAAAGCCGCCGTTTTTGGGGGCTCCATTTCCCTTGCTTGACACGCACCCGGCAATTTTCCAGGCGCCACTGGCAATGTTCGTTTAGGCTGCCTCTGAGCACAGGTGGCGCCTCTTCTGAGTAATAGCCCCAGCCATGCGCAAAGGCCAAAGAATGGCGTCTCCTGGACCGCTTTTTTGTTTTCCGTGTAGGCCAAGAATGTGAAACAGCAGCCGGACATATCACGTTTGGAGCACCCTAGAACCCTAGATGTGGGCCAAGCTAGGGCCCCGATCCGGAACTTCTGCGGGGATGGTTTGGGAGGCGCCTGTCTAGAACCGACTTAGCCAGCCGGACATGTGCGAAAAGAAGGGAAATGAGTCGAATCGTTCGCAGGCGCTGTGGCCAACATGTATTTGAGATTTGCTCAAATGACAATTCGCTTTTAAGCCAACAAACATTCTGAAGGGAAAGGTACCCTTTTCAGGTTGGATTTGAACTTGGAAAAGGGCCACATTTCGGTGCCCCAGAGAAAGGCACACGGCCCGATTGCGAGCGCTAGGTATCCTTGGATCCTGGATGACCTGGCCGTGGCCTTTCCGCATTGCGTCATCCCCTTGCAGGCAGATCGTATCGGCAGATCCGGATCCGGGCCCCTTGGAATGGGGAGGGGGGGGGGGTAATTTGACCCTTGGAATAGATTTTCATGCTCTAGCTGCCAAATGGAGGTTCTCAAAATGGAATTGGGACTTGGCTGGGTTTACAGGAAAACCACCAGAACACGACCCATGTTTTCTGGTCGCACCAAATCGTCAACACGTCGTGTTTTTTTCCCCCAAAGGCAACGAAAGAAGATGGGTCATTTGACTTTATTGTTTTGACCCCGTATTCAACACCCAGTGGAGGGATTTCGACTCTTCGATTTCATGATTCCTTTTTTTTTGGGATCGCACCCCCTCCAGGAAGGCAGGGGGTATGCAGGCGATGGAGAAACCAGACGCAGCACATTTTATGGTCTTTCTGGGTGGGGCGGGTTCGTGGGGTCCCTGGTTTGTTGGATGAGCACTGCCCAAAACCCCAAAAGGCCCAGAGTAGTAAGGCTTATACAACCTTAACCATCTTTGTAGAACCATTTGGAAAGGCCACTTGTTTCCAGAAGGCCCTTTCATGGAGTCCTTTTCGCCAGATGAGCCTGAAGTACCACGGCGCCGTGTTCGTGGCCAACTGCGGCTGCAACTCCACGCTGGAGCAGCACGGTGGCCCAGCAAACCCCCGAGCCGGACGCCACTTGGATGCCGGAAGTTTTTGAAGGATTGGCATCGAAAGGGAGCGTGTGGGCGGCAAAACAACTTCGGCCAACATTTCTCTAGGTCTGATTGGGCCCCCAACCCTCCGGAACCGGTCCCTAGATGTCAGCGTCGGACAAATCTGAAGGATACAAAATCAGAGGATTCCCCCGAAAGTAGAATTGGACCAGCCCTGATTGGTATCCAGTTTCTTTCCGTCCGAAGCCACGGGCCCAGAGATTTGAGGACATGGGAAGTCTTAAAAATCTTCCCTCTGTCCCAGACGTGCTGAGGATATCCTGGGCCGTTGACGCAACAACTTCCCCTCAAACCTCTCAACGTTCAAGGCCTTTGGCCTAGTTCAGCCTGTGGCCTTGAGGCTGATTATCCCCAACCCACGGGGCCACGGGTTTTGGGAGCTTGGTCTGGGTCCTTGGAAGTAGGCGCAGAGCAAGCCAACACAAACCAGCAAATTCAAATGTGGAGAGTTGTCCATGAGATGTATCAACTCACAGTGAGTTCCTGGACTTTATAAGTGACTTTATACTTTTTGGGAAGACTATTTTAGTGGTAAACGACGAGTTCAGACTTTGTTTGGCCACTCCGCTGGCTCGGAAGTGCGTACGCAAAAAGAGCGGGGGCGACCAGGGTGTCATCTGCTCGTCCTTTTGCGGAGGGTTTCCGGAGGTTCACAAGGCTGTCATGTAAGGCCTTCAAAACCCCCACTGGCAGGGAAGGAACCCAAACACACACAGGGTCTGCAAGACATGAATGAGGCTTGAGGCCAAGAAAAGAAGGCGAGCTCACCGGTCGGAAGTACACCGAGGTGCTTCGCCAGGTAATGTTCTCTATTTCCAGTGACCCTTGAGTGTGGCTTTTCGGAGGCAACACTGGTCAAATCATCGTCTGAGAAGATGCTTTGACTGGGACAAAGGCTCGGCAGTACATAACACGTGTAATTGTTTTGGGGACTTACATGGTAAGCGAGCTGTGCGCGTTTGCGTTGCGGTGAATCAAGCCGCAGTTTTATCGAGGTACGCTTTGTCCGTGCGGGAAAGCCGAGACGCGGATGAGGAGGAGATGGGTTTTGGATGTGGGGACGACTCTTCCCAAAGACCAAAGTCACCGACCGTCAAGGCCTCTGCCTTTTGGTCTTCTAAGCGTCAGAAAGGACCCCATTGAAGGGGCTTTTAGGCACCTCCATTGAAGGGGGGTTTTAGGGACCTCATTTCAAGGGCCTTTTTGAGGGACGCTCTTTTGGTTTGGTCGCTGGACCGGGTCCGCACCGAGAAAGGCATGTCTTTCTTTGCCTGTTCATTTGGGTTCTGTCCTCCAGCAGGCCACTTTTTGCGGAACCAGCCTCTGCACTAAAACGAATACGCATCGACCTTGAAAAACCGATGGGAATTTGTCCACCCAAACCGACTGGTAATAGCACATCCGTTGCCAAAAGTCATGAATCATGCTGCTCGAATCCTCATATTGTTCAGCGAACCTGAAGCAGATTCTTGCAAGCGCACTCACGTGTGCAGCATCCTAGACCTCTTTGTTGCACTACGTTCAGGAACAACCAGAGGTTTCACCGCCCCGGGAGCAGTGACCTGTTCGGTAGTGGGTGCGATGCCAATACAGACGCGACTGTAACTGTTTAAGGGAATCTGGGTGGTAGGGCCCCTTGGTAGTAGCGACGGGCTTCCTCCAAAACTGTTTTACATGTTAGGGTAGACCAAATATCACACGACCTGAACATATCATTGGCCTTTGGGCTAGTTGGCTTGCTTGACGCTTCAGCGGCTTGCATCCGTTTGGCCGGACGGACAAAGGCGCAAGAACGCCCAAGAAGCATCCTTGAACAGCTCGCCGGAAGTCTCCTAATCCTGTTGCCATCTTTCGTTTCGGAAGGAGAAGCTGCTCAGGATATGCTTCAAGGCGGGTTCCGAAGGGATCTATGCGCATCGAGTGGACTTTGCCCATTCGCACCATCAGGAATTGGGTGGGTGCTTCTCAAAATCAAGGACAAGTCAGGCGGCTGGTATCCTTTTAGAATTTCCCTTGGAGCCGTCTGAAAAGGGGGCGGACTGCTGTCAGAACCCGGGTAGATGAAGGGTAGTGAGGGACAGTCCTAGCCAGATATGGGTGCGGATATCCATCCTTTGATTCTTTACTGGTTTGGGGTAGACCGCTTTTGTACCAGGTTTGACTGCCAGTGAGGCGTTGTCCATTCAAGCCCCCGAACGTCAGGGTTTCTTGGGACGGCTTGCGTCATGCTACACTTGACTGATTTTCACAATTGTGATCCATTGCATTTAAGTAGAGGCTTTTCAACTGACAACTTCGGCTGACGGCTGTAAGATGCGTCCGGCGCGATTCCAGCACTGCGGTACTCAATCTTCACTGTTCTTGGCGCGTTTTTAGGTGTTCAGCTTTTTTGATTAGTGGGTAGCTGCAAAAACGCATAGTTCTTTTGCTACCATAGCAAGGCTTGGGAAGGAATATTGCTTGACCGAATGACCTCGCAACTTAGCTGACACTTGTTACGTCGCATGCGTGGTTAGGAAACGGCTACGACTTGCAACAGGGCCGCTTGGTACCCTAGGATGGCATTTAGGGTGGAAAACAATGAACGGACTTGCTCTGGGGTCTCCTCGTATTTTTTGTTGCTTGAGTGTAGAGTCATGCTTTTTCTGTTCACACCAGTTTTGTGGGCCAAGTTCTCAAACCATCACCCTTCCCACATGGAATGCGAACAGGGATCCATATATCATATATCTCTGAGCATGAGACCTAGGCGCGGCACAACCGCGTAGGGTTTTTCCCTGGGAATTCTGTGCCAGGCGGGGGAGGACTTGTGCCACCTCCAGCAGACCTACGACGTCCAGGAGAGCAATGCCCCCCCCACCCCCCCGGATGCCTCAACCTAGGGCAGGGTTGTGGGATCAAGGGGTTTCTCCCCACTTCTGTGATACAAGGGAATCCCCCTTTATATAAAGAAAATAGTCTTTGGGAAGCCGTTTCTGTTGTATCACAGAGGTGGTCATTCCCCACAGCCCTGACCTAGGGCCTTGGAAGTCAAAAACACGGACAGCTCAACGGTCCTCTTCTCCCAGGACCATTTTTTCCGGTTTCAAGGGGCAGACCTTTTGGTTTTGAAATGCCGGGAGTTCAGCTTTCTGAGCAGGTGGTTTTTGGTATGTATCCCTAAATCAACACAGGGGTTGTTTCGTAGAAGGTGAGCGTCAGTAGAAAGTTGGATGCTGAGACCTGCTCTTGTTTCTATTTATGGGAGGGGATTCCCTTCGAAATCAAGTGGGCGTGTCTAGAAATAGGAAACACCAAAAACTGTCCGGTGTCCTTTGATTTCTCCTTTAAACCACTTAAAAAGGTTTGTCCAAAACAACAACAACAACAACAAGGACGTTCCAAAATGGGGTGCCCCTGTTTTTTCCCCATGGCCACTGGAGGTTTCGGGAAACACCGAGGCATGCACTTTGAGTTGGCAAGCCACCAAAACGGAAGACACACCTATCTCGTGCAGGAACCCAGAATTCATTTGTGGCGGTTCCGTATGTCTCAACAAAAACGGGGACCCCGAACTGTTGGTGGTAGTGAGGTGGTGAGGAAACTTAGTAGCCTTTGTAATCTTTTGTGCTTCCTATCATGGGCACCGTGACCATCCCCAGTTGAATCATGGAACCGATCGGATACGAAGGTTCACCCTTATCGGATACCAAGCCTCAACCGGTGCTGGCCGCAGCCCTGCTTGCTTGGCCGACCATCTCGTGGCGAACAAACTGTGTGGACTTTTGTTGGCCAATCCACTCAAGAAGTGAGCTGAATACGCTTGTCATTTGGCAAGGCTTATGCCCGCCATCCGCTGGGTTGGCGGCCCCGTTTGTGAGGAGCCGCATCTGCAACTTCGGCCCAGTTGCGCAGGAAAGCCCAGCCTTGAGACAGGTCAAAGTGTGAAAGGGGCACCACTTCACTTTGGGCTGAAGGATGCAGCCAAAACCCTTGAGGACTCCCCCACCAGCTGGGTAATTGGTCTTGCCGCTGGTATTGGGGACAACCTGTGGGCTCAACGGCTCCGGTCTTTCCCCGCAATTCGCAATATTGGCAATGAGCTTGCCCTCAGGTGTGGGTGCTAGCTTGAGGTCATGCCACGCGGCGGGAAACTACGGGTGCCCCGCACTACATCTAGGCAGAATCTGAGAATATTTGTTTGATGCACAGTGACCCGAGACCAAGGTGTCTGGGGTTTTGCGCAGTCTAAGAGACGAGCTTCAAGCTTGCCAAGCACCCACACAAAAGGAGTTGGCTAATCTCCTTTGAGATCTCTCGGAGTTTGCCGTTTCGATTTCAAGCTCCTAAACGTTGCATTGTTTGGTTTCCTTCATATTTCACTTTTACTAGCAACGACAACTCGTTAACTTTTTGTAGGGGTCTAAGTCTAGCTAAGATCCTGGCGTGCTAATCCGTCAACTGCTGGGGCGAGTGGAGGAGTTGGCAGGGTCCAAGAAAAGCCACGAACCCAAGTGGGTTTGCATAAGCAATGGGCCAATGGGCGTTTCAACATGTTAAGACACGAGTTGGCCCAGTACTTGTCTGTGCGAGGTGCTATATGACCGCGACACGGGCCTCATCGCCTTTGCAGACTTTGCTTGGGCAGGCGGGGATTGTTTCGGAGCGGAGAAATACCGCCGAAAGGTGTGAGTTTGTCTCAAAACGCGGATCCCCCCAAGAGAACACCCGCAAACGAGCGCAAGGGAGGTGTTCGCGT